ATTTTTTTTCTTTTATTCAGAATTCAACTTTCATCCTGAAATAAACCTTCTCAACTATATACCTTATCCAATTTACTTTTACTAATGATGGTTTTTAGAATAGAATGTTAGAAAAAGTTCTAGCCAGATATTCATCAAGATTTGTTTCGTTTAAAGAAACCAACAGATAAACACACATGAAACACCCAATAAAATGGTGAAATTGTATCAACAATCAAAGATAAAATGAATTCATTAATAATTCTGTTAATGATTTCTGTTGATGATATTAGTTTTATCTTTTTTTCCTCAAACTCAACGCCTTTGCACAGCTGATTTATATTATCAACACTGAACAATAAACAACCTCTGGTAGTTGATGATGTGGAGATAGATAATAAAGAGGCAGGTTACCAGAAGAAGAGAAGAGAAGAAGATAAAAAAGATGAAGATGATGAAAGTAGGAGGTCAGGGTGTTGGTTTTGATGGTAGAGTAGAAGTGGGTAGATAAAAATTGGTTGATTAGTTATCATCCATACAAGGAAACCGGAACGGGAAATGAATGTTGTCAAAATGTGCACCGGTAAAAACCTCACAGACAAACCTCAAGACAAATGGTTTAGTTTTCTTTAAGGTCTAAACTCGACCAACATTATTATTATTTACCAAATTACCATTGACCAAATCAACAGAAATGAAGAGGAAAGTAGGATGATAATAATGATTCAGATGAAATGATGAAAACCTTTTTACTTTTACAAACTAATGACCAATAGGCAAGTGAATATATTTATTTACACATCTATCAACTGAGTCAACATTTTCATCTAACCACTGCTGGTCAGTGAAAATAAAAAGGTAATACCTTGATGATGATGATGATGATGATCATCCAATGATTATAGTTGACTGAATTACATGTCAACCCGCTTAATCATTATTTAATCAAACAATAATCATCCTGAAAACAGGTATTATGATTATTATTTTCAATTGAAAAGATAAATCTTGTTCAGTGAAACATGAATACCATGATTCCGTGAAACCATAAAATTAATTAATCCGCTAATACAGATTGTGTATAAACCATAATACTCAATGTATCAATTGGTGAAAATTGATTCATGGATGATCCTTGATAATATACCCAATATGAAATATTGACATGGATTTTGATTCAATCGCTAAGGTAAAAGGTAAAAGTCATTTATCAATCCTATGAACATTGATGTTATTATCGAGGTTAAAAAGTTCAGAGTAGGTTCAATCATTAGATTCCCTCAAGATATTTTGCCAACCATGGAATTCATTCAATCACTGATTTCAAATACTATTCAAATCTAAATAAATACTGAAACTGTTACCTTTAGTTATCTAGGAAAAATACAACTTGTTGATAAAAGTTTCGATTATATATTACAACGAGGATGGAAGAAAAAAACTTCTCTTGTCAATTTAAAAAAAGAAAAGTTAATTAAATCAATCAATCACAATTGAAACTTTTAACTCAAGTAATTGGCAAAAAAAAAGTTATTAATTGATTAAACCTAATCAAATAACATTTGAGATCATTGAATGATTATTTTAAGACTCGAGACTATAAAAAAGTAAGTTAATTAGCAAAAATAAAAACCATTCTATACAATAGTTAATCTGGAAATGTTTCAATTAACATGATAATTGACCTTAATTGTGATTCTAATGATGGTAAACAGTAGTTTGACAATAATAGTTAATTGAATGAAGATAATAAGGTAAAAACCAACATTACAAAATAATTAGGTTAATCTTATTGATAATCATTGAATCATGATGATGGAAAAGGTAAATTACAATTGTATTGGAATGGAGACAATTAAAAACTATCAATAAGACAGGAAAATATTCAAATACAACCGATGGACAATTTGAGGCAATGACATTTTTTTTTACAAAGGACAAAGACCACACAAAACAATCATGATGATGACAGTTAATGATTGTGCTCATGATGTTGATGAGAGAAGATGATAATTTATTAATCAGGAAGTAAACATTTTTTTTTTCTTCATCAATTGATGGGCAATAATAATGATAATAATGGTAATAAGAATCATGATAATCTTGAATAGTAATGATAAAACATGAATCTAAATTATCTGTATGAGCAATGATTATAACGTTGATGATTGATGATGTTGTATCTTGGGTTGATGAAGATGATGAGGTTCAATGATGATGATGATGGAAATGCTTTCGTAAGAAGATAAAAAGTATAAGCATTTTACTAAGAAGAAAAGAAATCAAAAAAGAAGATTCTTTTTTCTTAATCTTTCTTTTTCAATATCATAATTACTATCACGATGATTATGGATAATAATTATCTATTGCACACACATACAACTAATCGCTGTTGATTGTGAAAAAAAAGGAAAAATTGATTATCACCAATTTGATTTGTTGACTTTGTCTCAAAATACAATTAATAAATTGTCTAATAGAATTTAGTTTCTCTCTTTTATGTTTGTTAAATGTTAATTGTTTACACAAGATAATTAGCAAATTAATTGAAATCACATTTAGTTTTTTAATCATTAATCAAGTTACAAATTAATAGACACACAACATGTTAACTATTATATTGTTCAATTTACATTAATCAATATTTTATCATTGTTATCAGAACAGTTTAATTATTATCATCCATAATCTTCATCATCAACATGATTTATCAAACAATCTAATATTATAATAATTGAATCAAGATGTGTTATTAATTTGTAATTTATCAATATCATCAGTGAATAAATCATGAATAATTAAACAAAGTAAATGAAAAATAAACAAAAAAGTTAATTACTCTATTGATCTAATGGTCATTCAAAGCGTTTTTGTATTGTCATTATCAATATTTAATCAGACAATGATAATGAAAAGTCAAGAACTTGGTGATAATCATGATGAGGATGAGAGAGAGAGAGAGAGAGAGAGAGTTTTATTTCAATTCACTCCCTCATCTGCATAGTATTGAAAGTTCATGTTCATGGGGATTCAGAATGTTTAGATCTGAATTCAAATACTGTTTACTTATGTCAACATGTTACATTAGGGTAACAGATAAAGAAATGAGCTCAATAATATGGAGGGAAAAAGTAAGAAGATGAGCAAGAAATGAAGAAAAACAGAAGTTTATCACCAAGAAGATGAAGATTCTTAAAGAATCATTGATTCATATCAACTTTAGTTACTTTGCGAGTTATATCTTCTTTTTTCACGTTCTTTTTTTCTTTCTCTTCATCATCATCTTCTTTAGCTTATTCGTCGTGTTATTTTTTTTCTCTTAGTTCTCTCATCATTATCTTGTGAGTTGAACTTTTTTTTTTCTTTTTATTTTTGTTCAATTTCATGTTCATCTTAATCTTTCGTCAATATCTTCGGGACTTAGGAATTCATGTTCTATTATAAAGAATTGAATTGATTGAATTCATTTGGTCTTTTCATGTTTTCTTTTCATTATCAGAGATGATAGAAACAACATTGTTGGTGATAATGATGATAATAACTGGATTATAAATATTAGGTTGGAACAATAGTTTACATAATTAATATTAATATTATTTTTCTCTGTTAGACTAAATCTGTAAGGAAACAATTATTGTTACTCTATTTCTTCATCCCTTAATATCTTCATTATTTTTGTTCATCATCATCATTATCATCTTAGTTTTTTTTCCTATGCTGATTGATTCTTGTTTCCAAGGGACTATTTATTACAAATTTGCAAAAGCGTCCTTGGAGATGCTGATGGTGGGAAAAAAGAGGCAAAAGAGGAGGATGATAGTGGTGATGGTGGTGGTGGTGGTTAGTGATGGTTCAGCAAAAGAAATAAGAAAATGTCAAATAAATGTTATCATGGTAAATGTTGATCAAATTAATTTCCATTTTAGCTCAACAGTGTGTTACTATAATCACAATTTTCGGGTTGATAACAACAATTTAACCAAATAACAAACACACAAGAGCAACAGCAAGATAGGAAGAAGAAGAAGAAGACGAGAAGAAAAAAAAGTTCAAATACAACGAAAGAGGAAGAAAATAGTTGATTAGTTTATGAAGAGGAGGAAGAGGATGGTGAGAGAGCGAGAGAGAGGAGGAGGTGATGAGAGAGTGAAGTGCTTATATCTCAGCATGAATATACGATCATCTCAGTGGTATAGCCTCATTTTAACAACACAAATTCATTTCATTAGCTCATTGCTCGGCAAAAATTCAGTAACATTTTTGTTGGCTAATGAAGTCATTTCCAATCCTGTTTCTCTCTCTCTCTCTCTCTCTCATTACTCCTGTAACTGTATTAGTGATAACATTATTCTGAATCTTTACATTGATTCCTAACTAACATATTCTGTCACATTCTTACCCTCGACCAACTCCCCATGAGAGTATGTGTTGAATAAAGTATTACTTTTTTTTTCTCTCTCTCTCTATGATAACATTGGATTCTTTTGACTTTTTCCCTCCCAACATCAACCTCTTTGAATAACAAAATAGCTTCATGTTGATGGTGATCAAGATTATAAATAATATTATTACCATTACATCATTATAATCAATGGCACTGGAATTATCGTTGATTAGATAATAAAATTGACCAATATAAAAAGTATCAAACATACTGTGAAGGAGCAATTAATTTTATTTGCTTGATTAACAATTTAATCATTGATATAAAATTAATCTAATATACTGGTAAATGGACAGAGTGATCTATGGACGATAAAAGGTAAAAATCCATAAAAAAAAAGGTAAATGAAGTTACATTTATATTTATTGGACAAAGATGACGATCAAAAAAAGAGTAAGAAAAAAGTAACAATAACCGTTAGAAAAATGAAAGAGAAAAAATGACGAAAACAATAGAAAAAAAATCTATCAAAAGTATCTTTAAATTGTTTTTTTTTCTCTGCCAAATTAAGAGAAAGAAAAGTTGAAAAAATTTTGTTCTTTTTTAGAGAACAAAAAAAAGAGAAAAATTAACTTACATTGATTGGCCATTTTATTGTGTCATTTTCAACACTTTCGCAGGTTGAATGTAACTCGGTGGTTGGCAACAGGTGTCAAAGATCTTAGATCGGTGAAAGTTTACAATCAACTGTCGTTAATCAGTTAATCTCAATGGTAACAATTATTAACACAATTAAAATGGAAACGATTTAGTTTCTCGACACAATCAACGTTCATGTTAACCACTTTTCTTGCAACTGATTGTAATGCTTACATTTTCCCTCTTTAAACCGATAAAGTGAGAACATCAAATGGAAAAGAGAGAGAAGAAAAATTCCAACAACCTGATTGGTCGATGGAAGGGGAAAGTAAGGGGAGAATGTTAGGGATCACATATGAATAAAAATACGATCTTTTTCTTCTCTCTCATTTTCTTTCGGTTTCTCTCTCTCTCTCTCTCTCTCTCTCTCTCTCTCTCTCATTACTCCTGTAACTGTATTAGTGATAACATTATTCTGAATCTTTACATTGATTCCTAACTAACATATTCTGTCACATTCTTACCCTCGACCAACTCCCCATGAGAGTATGTGTTGAATAAAGTATTACTTTTTTTTTCTCTCTCTCTCTATGATAACATTGGATTCTTTTGACTTTTTCCCTCCCAACATCAACCTCTTTGAATAACAAAATAGCTTCATGTTGATGGTGATCAAGATTATAAATAATATTATTACCATTACATCATTATAATCAATGGCACTGGAATTATCGTTGATTAGATAATAAAATTGACCAATATAAAAAGTATCAAACATACTGTGAAGGAGCAATTAATTTTATTTGCTTGATTAACAATTTAATCATTGATATAAAATTAATCTAATATACTGGTAAATGGACAGAGTGATCTATGGACGATAAAAGGTAAAAATCCATAAAAAAAAAGGTAAATGAAGTTACATTTATATTTATTGGACAAAGATGACGATCAAAAAAAGAGTAAGAAAAAAGTAACAATAACCGTTAGAAAAATGAAAGAGAAAAAATGACGAAAACAATAGAAAAAAAATCTATCAAAAGTATCTTTAAATTGTTTTTTTTTCTCTGCCAAATTAAGAGAAAGAAAAGTTGAAAAAATTTTGTTCTTTTTTAGAGAACAAAAAAAAGAGAAAAATTAACTTACATTGATTGGCCATTTTATTGTGTCATTTTCAACACTTTCGCAGGTTGAATGTAACTCGGTGGTTGGCAACAGGTGTCAAAGATCTTAGATCGGTGAAAGTTTACAATCAACTGTCGTTAATCAGTTAATCTCAATGGTAACAATTATTAACACAATTAAAATGGAAACGATTTAGTTTCTCGACACAATCAACGTTCATGTTAACCACTTTTCTTGCAACTGATTGTAATGCTTACATTTTCCCTCTTTAAACCGATAAAGTGAGAACATCAAATGGAAAAGAGAGAGAAGAAAAATTCCAACAACCTGATTGGTCGATGGAAGGGGAAAGTAAGGGGAGAATATTAGGGATCACATATGAATAAAAATACGATCTTTTTTTCTTCTCTCTCATTTTCTCTTTCGGTTTCTCTCTCTCTCTCTCTCTTTGTTTTCATTTGTCTCCCTCTTTCATTCGCTGTCGCTCATTTCTTGTCTCTTTCTCTCTTTCTCTCTTTGTCTCTGTCTTTTTTATTCTCTCTCTCTATTTATTCTCTGTCTATCTGCAGCCATTTTACTCTTCTCTCTCTCTCTCTCTCTCTTTTCTCTCTCTTTCTCTCTCTCTCTCTCTCTCTCAAGGTTTGCTTGTCTTTCTTAGTAACCACTTCCTTTGACCAAAAAACATATAAATATATTTAAGATCAATTTGATTTAATTAATTTAAAATTTTGAATCAATCAACAACCACCTTGCTTAATCCTCGTGTTCTTTGTGTTTTCTATTAATCCTATTAACAAGTGTTACCAAGTTTCCATTGAACATCTTAAAATGCAAACTGTTGAAAAGGTTGCAAGAGGTGTTGACACCGAAGAAGACTGGAAATCCAATCTTAAGATTCCACCCAAAGATTTGCGAAAGAGGACATCTGATGTGACCGCTACCAAGGGCAATGAATTCGACGAGTTTTGTTTAAAAAGGGAGCTCCTCATGGGAATCTTTGAGAAAGGATGGGAAAAGCCATCACCAATCCAAGAAGCTGCTATTCCTATGGCTCTGTTGGGTCGTGATATGCTGGCTCGTGCTAAAAATGGTACTGGCAAAACAGGTGCTTATGTGATCCCTATTTTACAAAGGATCGATGTGACCGCTGATCATATCCAGGCGTTAATCATTGTGCCAACTCGAGAATTGGCCTTACAAACCAGTCAAATTTGTATCGAACTCTCTAAATATCTCAATGCTCGTGTTATGGTGACTACTGGTGGAACTAATCTCAAAGAAGACATCATGAGGATCTATGAAAAAGGTAAGCGATCCTCTCAACCACCTTGTGCTCCAATCTGTGATCTAACCTCTTCTTTATTCCCTCTTCTCTCTCAGTTCATGTCATAATTGCCACTCCAGGGCGTATTCTTGATTTAATCGACAAGGAGGTCGCTAAGGTTGACAAATGTAAAATGCTGGTGCTCGATGAAGCTGATAAATTACTCTCTCAAGACTTTAATGCTATGTTAGATTCATTGATATCGTACCTTCCCAAAGATAGACAAATCTTAATGTTTTCCGCAACTTTCCCTCTCACAGTAGAAAATTTTATGGTGAGTCAATTCATTGTGCCTTTAGCCTGTTAACAGGTTGTTTTTATTTTCTCTCTCTCTCTCTCTCTCATTCAACAGAAAAAACATCTACACGATCCCTATGAACTAAATTTGATGGAAGAGTTGACACTTAAGGGTGTCACCCAATATTACGCATTTGTCCAGGAACGACAGAAAGTACACTGTCTCAACACCTTATTTTCTAAGCTGCAGATTAATCAATCTATAATCTTCTGTAACTCAACTCAAAGAGTTGAACTTCTGGCAAAGAAAATAGCAGAGCTTGGTTATTCTTGCTATTACATTCATGCTAAAATGTCCCAACCTCATCGTAATCGGGTATTTCACGACTTCAGGAGTGGTCTCTGCCGTAATCTAGTTTGCTCGGGTAAGCATAGAGGTCAAGAGAAGGTTGCAACCACCTTGCTCTGTTGATGGGTCAATTTTTTAATCTTTGTTTTCTCTTCCATTTTAGATCTTTTTACCAGAGGTATTGACATCCAAGCTGTCAACGTGGTGATCAATTTTGATTTTCCCAAGATGGCTGAGACATATTTACATCGTATTGGAAGATCGGGACGATATGGACACATGGGAATCGCCATTAATTTAATCACATATGAGGACCGATTTAATCTCCACCGAATCGAACAAGAATTGGGTACAGAAATCAAGCCAATTCCTAAAGTAATCGACAAGTCGTTGTACGTACCAGAATTCCAAATTGATGACACAGAGAATGGTGATAACGAATGTAATTCCGCTAAAACAAAATGAAACCGTTAAAAGATTTTGGATTGACAACCACCTAGTTTCTACTCTCTCTCTCTCTCTTTCTCTCTCACTCTCCACCCAACTTTCTCTTTCTTCCTCTCTCTCTTTTTTTCTCACAGCCTTTGTTGTCTCCTTCCAATGACCCTTGCAACCACCTTACATTGTAATCCCTCGATTTAGATTTAATCCTTATTCTGGTCTCTTTTTCCTCTTTTGCGCATCAAAAAAAAATCCTGGATGTTACAAAGTACCAAAAACCACTAATTCTGTTTATTTGTATCTTTTTCCCTCGCAACATCAACCACTTTGAATAACAATAAACAAAAGTTACAAAGAAGAAACAAAACAATCAGGATATTATTGATTAGATGATTCGAAGAGATTTAGATAATTAAGATGATGATGATACAGAATGATTGATAAAATCAAATTAAATCTTGATTGTCCCAATCACAATTGAGAAAACTGTTCATCAAGATATGAGAAAAAATCTAAATCATTTTTGTTTTTCTGGTTACTCTCAGAAATTAAATAATTTCAATGATCTTTCATTAGATTTTTAATCGATAAACCGATTAATTGGAACTTGTTAGATTATAAGTGAGACAATTAAAAGCGAGAAGAAAAAAATGAAAACAACAATTAACAATCAACAACATTTCTCTAAATTAACTAACATTCCCTCACATGTGACATGTTTGTTTACCTTTTCTAAGGAACAGCCTATTCGACCAGAAATCTGTGGTTAAATAGTTTCTGCGCTTAAATAACCAGAGAGGAAAAATCTAATCAGTTTTAACTCTAATTAGTGAATTATTCTTGTTTTGATAATGAAAAGTGATCAATTAACAATCAAAAGAAATATAAGTGAAAAAATAAAATTCTCAGAAAATTCTGTTTTTTTTTCTCAGCTGAAAAAAAGTTAACCACCTTGTCTTTCGCCCTTTGTGTCCGATTTAAACTATTGATCTAAATTGTTTTATTGATTGATAAGAAAAACAATTAACTCAACTACTATTAAAAAAGAAACTAAAATGTAATCATTGTCAATGATGATAAAAAGGTATTCCTAATCCTGATTCCAAGCGAAAAGGTAAGCAAATCTTTCAATATCATCTTAATAAACTAACGATGCACCTAAACTTAACTTGATTGTGATTAAAATTAATACAGTCAACTGCCAGATAATGAGACTGCCAGATAATGAGACTCTCTCTGAAAATAGCTTAAAATCACTATTAACACAGAAAATTTAATTTCTATTAATTAATTACTGAAACACTTAATGAGCTTTTTGAGCCCCTTTTCCTATCAATTTACCCTTTTGAATGACCAATACTAATTTTAATCATTTTTAATTAAGAAAATTTCGATCAAATTTCTTAAAAATGATTAATTAACAAAAGTAAACAATTAAAAACACAGCTCGGTTGTCTTGGTTACAATAGAAACGTTATTTTAAGAGAGTCTCATTATCTGGCAGTTGACTGTATGTAATTAATACTAATGATCCAACCCATTTCATAGGAATTAAATCAACAAAACTCGAGATACAAAACCAGAAATAGTAACTCAACCAACAAATTTACTCATGTGAATGGCAATTATCCAAATGAACACAAAGAATCAACTTTCGCTGGTAAATCAAGTTCTTAACGTTTTCTTTTCCTATACTCGCTAATGATTAACCTCCAAGTTTGTCCACTAATTATTTCATCATTTTTAATTCACTCTCATCCGAAGTCATTACAATCCGTTGGTTAACAAATCTCACAATTTTCATCTCTATTTCTCTCAATGATACTCCCTTGTTTTCCTAATCAACTCTAATTGTTTTTCTCTCGATTACTTGAATAGTATTTTATTTACCATTTTATTCAATTTTTTTGTTTCTTCTCTTTTTTAATTGTTCTCTTAAATAATCAACAGTTGATATTCGATTAATATCATTGGATTTAACCTTCACCATGGACAAATTGTCATCAAATAAGTTAGCCTGGTGCTCCAATGGAACCTACTTGACTATTCATAATCACAATAAGAAACCATTGAATATTTTAATGTCATCATTAGACGCGTAAGTAAATCAACAACATTTTCAGATGATTAGTTAATTGTCTGTCCTCTTGTCTGCGATTTTCACTTGAATAATAACAATTTGCTCCTCTTGTATTCTATTGTTATTGGTGTCATCTTGATTAAGGTGTTTTGATTCATTTCTATTTACAGTTACCTAATCATAAACATTATCTTGATATTTGTTTACTTTTATTGCTCATTTATTTTTCTAATTTTATGATTTTATTTTGTTTCCCTCTCTTCCGATGTGTTTATTTACTCACCATGGTTTTCAACGATAACTTTGCAATCTTTTTCACCTTGCATATTTACCTGTAGTTATGGTCATTTTAATGCGATCCTTGGACTTGGTGAGAAATTAGTTAAACGTGGACATCAAGTTTATTATGCAAATCGATCTGGATATAAGTCTATGGTTGAAGCTTCGGGTTTACAGTTTATTCCAATCGAAAAATTTGATCCGTCCATGGGAAATTATGAAGCCAATCAATTTATACTCAAATTTATCGACAATTACAGTAAACAAATGGAGAAATCGTCACTTGATAGGTTGACTAACTGGTCATTTAATGATCTTTTTAATAATCTTGGTTATTTCAGTGAAATGAAAAGGATGGAGAAAGTTTTAGAAATGATCATTAATCAAATGAAACCAGATCTAATTATCGGTGATTTTACTTTTGCACTGCCACTTTTTACTAAATGTACCATCCCATGTATACCCTTATTATCAACAAACCCGTTACCGTTATATGGTGATCGAGGTCCACCTGTTGCTTCAGGCTATCCTATTGATGGACCCAAAGATGTTTGGACAATTTATCGTAAAGCCGAAAAACGAGCGATGTTTGGATTACGATTGTACATGAGACCTTGGTGGTGGAGAAAGTGTTTATCGCCACCAGAAACATCACAACTTCGTTCATTTGCAAAGTATTTTGGTATTTACGTTTACCCATCGGCTCTTGACTATGACTCTGACCTGGGGGCACCTTCATCGAATTGGACTCGGCTTGATATGTGCATCCGTCACACCTCAGACGATTTCCGATTACCTGATTGTTTGAATGGAAAACCAGGTAAATTGATTTACCTTTCGATGGGATCATTAGGATCAGTAAACTTGAAACTAATGAAAAGGTTGGTGGAAACACTTTCGTCCAGTCCTCATCGATTTATTGTCTCAAAAGGTTCTAAAGGTGATCAATTAACGTTACCAGATAACATGTGGGGAGATAATTTCGTCAATCAATTGGCCATTTTACCAAAAGTTGATCTGGTCATCACAAACGGCGGTAGTAATACAGTCATCGAAAGTTTATCGGCCGGTAAACCGATGATCGTGTTGCCCCTTTTCTACGATCAACTCGACAATGCTCAAAGAATCGAAGAGAAAGGTTTGGGACGTCGATTGGATCCATTCAAGTACGAAGATGATTATTTTCTCAGGACAATTGAAGATCTGCTCAATAGTCAATCGGTTCACAATAAAGTGGAAAAAGTTGCTCGTGAGATGACAAAAGCATCAGAACAGAACAAAATTTGTGAATTGATTGAATCATTAGCGTTTCATGTTAAGTTTGGTGGACCAGTTGATCCAGAATTGAAGCAAATTTTACCTCATTTGGATAAAGTTTGTCCGAATGATAAACTGAAGCTTTGATCAGAACTTTTTTTACAAAAATTGTTTAAAACCAATTTTACCTCAATTAATGTTGTAACTTATTTTCCAATCAGTAATTTGACAAGTTCTGTTTACTATTATTAGAAAGACTTTGATAATCTTTCCTATCCTCTACAATTAGTAAATGAAATAAATTGTAAATTCATATGAAATTTTAATTTGGCCACATAAAGACTGAGCTTTTTATTAGCACTTCAGCAGATTTCAGGGGAATGTTCATCACGAAACGAATCAGGGATTAGGGGAGAACATGAGATGTGCGTATTTCTTGGACAATACAATTAGATTTTAAACTGAACACGAATTTGATCTTAACAAAAGCTCAAGAAAATTAATTGATTTTTCATTTTGTTTTGAGAAAGAGAGAAAAAAGATAATCGTTTGGATAAACAGGATACACAGATTATAATTGATTACGAGATTGATTATTGATTTGATTAAATTTAATTGTATGCATACGGCCTTAGAACTGTTTTAATTTAATCGCTGTTTATCTTTTTCCAATAAGTTTCGTTCTACTTGGAGGATTTTTTGTAGATTCGAGTGGCGGTAACTTCACCACATGTACAAGTCTAAAAGAAAAGAAAAGAAAAAATAATTGTTCTAATTATTATCAATTTCATCTCATATGTTTTCAAGTCGATTGTTAATATTAAACTTCCGGACAAGTTGTTGATGCTTTAAATCAATCAATCTTGATCCATTGATGTCATAGAATTCAAATTGAATCAATTAACTAAATAATGTTAACAGTAATCAGGTTGAAATCAACCAGATGCCTGAGCTAATAGTATTTGTAAATGAATAAAAAAACAAACAACGTGTAAAAGATGATAAGGATGAATAGAGGATAAAATGAGTCGGATTTGTCTGAGTTAGTCTTGAATAAACTGATAACCATATTGAAAACTTGAACAACGCAACAGTGAAAATCTGAGCTGCTTTGATTCCTTTGAATGAAGATGATTGAATCCCTAAAATGGTTCTTTCTCTTTTTCTTACTCTTGCTTTTCATCTTTTACAAAATTGAAAAGTCGATAAGTATTGCCTATGCGCTTTACTCACAATTTTCATCTCATCCCCGTTGAATTCACGAGTAATTTCAGCCGGAGGCTCACTTTGCTGCTTCTGGATCAACTTGTTACCTTCTTGGGTGACGGTGCTCTGTGAATGGATTAAGATGGTTGAGAGAAAACAATTAGAGGCTGATAAAAAGTGAAACATTGAGAATACTAATTAACATTAGTCTTCTCGATAGTTACAATAGATTAGGAGTATTTTTGTTTCAGCAACGAAACATAAATCCAACGATTAACCAACAGAGTAAAAGGATAATCAGACAAAATTTTGCTTGGTTAGTCATTGGAACATATCAAATTGTTAATTATTGCTTCAACTACCGGAAATAAATTTCCATTGATTTATGATATCGTTAATTGTTCAATCTTTTTATCTTTGATTCTCACCTTACAAGTTACCCCATCCATACGTTTCTCTTCAAACTCTTCGTTTAATTTGAATTTGGTCTCGGAGGTTTTGAATGTTGATATTGATTTAAAGGTGATGGTTCCATCATCGTCGACCTTTATGATGAATGTTGGTTTCAATGCGCCAACAGTTTTTCGTAGAAGAAAATTAAGACCTGGTGAAAGTGGACAAAAGAAATGGAAGAACATAGAAAGAGAAAAAATTGGAAAAGGAAATTCAGTCAATTGATTGATAAAAGATAAAAGGTAATTAATGGTCACGAAATTGAAGTTAATGTGTCTGAATAAATGTCATTCAATTGAGAAGATGGAAAGGTAATTGGGAACAATTAGACCATGAAAAAGATGGCAACATGAAATGACCAAGAGACAAAATTAATAACCATTAATCTTGTCAAATAAAATAATATAAACATGAAAATTATTCAAGATCTTGATGAAAGATACAAATTATTAAGAATTAATTAGAATTGATTATCTTAAAGAAAAGACAAATCAATATCAATCAGATCAGTAGATATAAAAGAGGTTCCAAAGAAAAGGAGAGGTACCAACATGGTGGAAAATGAAAATTACTCTTACCTAAAGCCTTTAAAAATTCATCGAAATTTTCGCTTGAGACAAATGAATATTCACCAGCGAATTCAGCCATCGTTAAATTGTTGAGAGAATTGATTGAAAATAATCAAGAAAAAGAAGTTAATTACCAATTGACAGTAGAACAAAAAAGAATAACTATTTGAGAGAGAATTGCAAATTGAATGAAGAAAACCAGGATCGTCTCGGCAACAAGTAAAAGTGAGAGAGAAGATAGAGAAAGAGAAAGAGAAGATAAAATGATGTAAGATGTTAAAGAAGATGAGAAAGAAAGAGAAGATGAGAAGATGAGAAGATATTTGGGCTTGGGAATGAAGAACAAGAGACAAGAAGAAAGAAGAAAGAAGAAAGAAGAAAGAAGAAAGAAGAAGAAGAGAGAAGAGAGAACAAAGAGTAAAAAGAAAAAGAAAGAGAAAATTAGTGTCGCCATCTCTCGTTGTTAAGTCGAACCTTCGGTTGTTCGTTTTCTTGGTTTCTCTCTAATTTGAATATCCTCGAGAATTTCAATTGTTTACTACAATTAGTGAATTGTTCGAGTGTATTGATTTAATATTACATTGTTTTCCACTATTTCGATTGTCAACATTAAGTATACTTTGATTATCTTTCTCTTCTTTGCCAGTTAATTTTGAGTATTTTGAGTGTGTTTAAATGAGATGGAATATTTTCTGTCAACATAATTTGTCGCAAATTTATGTGCAATTATTAATTTTGGTTGACAATTTATTTTGTCAACAGATGATAATACAAGAGTAGAAAAAATTAAGTCAACAGTTGGCGATGATGAGAGTTGCTTTTTCCCCCTATTCTCTTGTGGTCTCAATTGGATGATGGGTTCATGGCTAAAGGTTAAGTATTTAATAGTTAACAACAATAACAATTGAGTCCTTGGATAAGTTAATTGGTTAATTTAAGTCTGGAGAATTTTTTTTAAATTGTTGCGATGGTGATAAAAAAAAGGCAAATCCATTGTGTTGATCATGTTTATAGTTTTCCTCTCTAATCTATTTTAACTGTCATGGTAAATATTTTTTGTCATTTAAATTGTAGCTTCAAATGAACTGATCAGCTCCTGGTAATCAGCTTCTTGGAATAAATAAATTCAGATGAAGCTAAATCAACACTGAGAAACGGGTGATGTTTTCTTTCCCGGGTTGTGTTCACGTGTATTTGGAGTAAAATAAATTGATGAGGATAATGATCGTGATGACGATAATGGTTAATGACGATGATGTTGACGTTTTCAATTTTTATAGAAAAGTTTTAACGATCAAACCGACGACCGATAATCTCTTGTCACTTATAAGTTTTTTTCTTCTGTTTTATTAACACTGATTTGTTGACAATCTCAGAGTAAACCCATGTCCAGGCTGATGGATGAGTTTTGACTGGACATTGATCGAATTGAAGTTTCCTCTTTCAATGGAGAAAGGATCGGTTTCTCTGGGGCAGTTGGGGCTACGTAAGAGAAACGACTAATGTCCAGTGGATGGAAAGACCATTCGAAAGCAGTGTTTCGTAAGAGACGATTTTTGGACATATCTGGTGGAGTGGTTGATACTATTGGAGAACCTGTTAAATCGGAATCGGTACAAGAATCTGTTAGATTGCTCCTTGAATTTTCACCAAAAATGAATTTAATTTTTGGAAAATGTGATGGCATTTTCTCAGCGAACCATTTCCTCCTTTGTTGGACTTGATTTGTTCGCAATAACGATTGACGTTTAGAAGAGATTTTCTCGAGCAGTGATTCTCTCTCAGCTTTCATTTTATCAACTTTTTCACGGATTTTGAGGGTCATTTTTTCAAGTTCTTGATTGAAGAGATTGTAATGCGAAGAAAGGTTTTTACATTCACTTATTGGAGCCCAATTTTCAATCGAGTTCTTGAACTTTTTGATGAACTTATCCACATCTTTGTGCACTAATTCAAGATTGAAACATCCGCGAACAAAGTATTTGCTTAAATCACATTCATTGGAAAATTGTCTTAAATCAAATAACTGATTACTCGATGAATTCAAACTGTAACCAGCCAGAGTGTTGTACATTTCAATCTTGGGTGAGATGCATCCAGTTAGTCTCTTTAGATCGATGATCTTTTCATTAACAATATCGTTCAAATCCACAACAGATTGTCTAACATTAGCAATTAATTCATTATCCTTCATAGAGTTACCAGTTCCTCCAAGAATTTGTACACAAGCAGCATTAACAGTTTTCGCATATTCAAAACATATATTATCCCATTCGGTTTCTAGAGATCTTTTTCTCAATTCAAAGTATTCTAGTTCGATTAACATTTTCTGGTCCAGATCATCATAGTTAGACTTTAGCTCGGCAAGTTTAGTAGATTCATCATCAGCTCGCTCTGCTAATCTGAAATCATTGAGATCAGATTCAACTTCCACTGAAAATTTATCTTTCAAGACTTTGGTCATGACATAGTTTATGAGATTCAAAAAGTATGAACAAAAGGCTTCGCCTCCAGGCTGAACAGCGTAAATAGGAGTAAACTTCAGACTGCTATCAATCTAATGAAAAAGACATCACAGATTAGGGAAAATAATCAAAAAGAATCAGAAAAAAACAAAATTAGTTGGTTTTGATTGTGTATATTTTATAGTTGGTTGTGGTGGGCCTTTTGTAGACTTACCTTTTCAAGTGATTTTAAAAATTCAATGGTAACTTTCCTGAATTCAGCTTCTTGATTCTTGTCCAGGCAAGGATAACAGTATCGAAATTGAGACAAAGCTTGAGAATTTTTGAGACATTTCACCAGAAAAATCATTATGACCTCAAAAGCTTTATGATCAGGACGACCAAAGAGTTCCCTGTTCTCAAAAAAAAAATTAACACAAAGAAAAGACGTTGAAATCACATAAGATAAGAAAACAAAAAAGATACAATTAGTAACCAAAATTAGATAAATTTGTTAATAAAAAAGAAATCAACAAGTGGAAAACAAATTACCTTTTGAGAATAAAATTTTTACATTCTTTTCGGTTAACAACATACTCGTTGAAAGAAAGTACTTCAAGACTTTCAAATATACCATTTTGAAGCTCCTGTAGTTGGCTAACCATTTTCACAATAAAAGGCGAAGATAAAGACAAAAGGTTGATAAATAATCAATAAAAAAAGAAAAATATAAAGTAATTAAATAGAAACAATTTAATGAAAAAAATATAAACCAAAGTCAAGAGACAAACAAATGAAAAGGTAAGTGACCAGTTAGAAACGCGCCTAAAATTCAGAGTTGCCATGGAAACGGAACAAAACGATATTCGAGTCGATAAAAAGATACCGATAAAAATATCGATATTTTAATGTTTACATTCCGATTTTGTTAATTGTCAGAATTTTTTTCTCGTACAATTTATTTGTTTCCCTGTTTCGGTTATTTGTTTTGTTCCATTTTTTATTGTAATTTTTTTTTCTTTAACATGGAAGGTATGGAAGGTTTTCTTTGTCCTAATTGTATTGCTCGTTTTGACACCGCCCGTGAATTGTTAGCTCATTTTGAAGATAAACATGCGGGTGAAACACCTCAACGAGCTGTTTCCAGTCTACGGGGTATTCTTGATAAAGCGAAGAAAATTTTGAATACCGACGATGATTCTAGTTCATCTAATCGATTGGCTAATGGTGGTGTTAATGATAGTCAATCTGAGATTGATTTGGACTTTTACTGGAGATCATTACAAACCTGTGGTCCGAGGAAAAATCTTTGGGAATCGTTCAAAGTTAAACGAGATACTAAAATTGAGAATTGTGTTATTGAGACCAACAAATTGTTGATTCGATTGGATAAATTGTTAAGAGAAACACCTGATAGTACGTCACCTTTTTGTTTTCTTTCTGTTTTGTGATTCTTTTAACATCATTTCTAACATGAAGGCCTAAAAATGATTGTTGATGTTACATTTGCTTTTCGTCATTCGTCATAATTTATTCTGTTATAGTCCATTAATTTTTACCTTTTTTTCACTTCTTTTTTTCTCTTTTTGCCATTTAGATCCTGATTTGAAAAAGCTACACGAGAAAAGTGTTGTCGAGTGGGCTGAAGATGCTTACGTCAATTTGTGCCCTCAATGTGCCAAAGGATTTAACTTTGGTCGTCGTCGGCATCACTGTCGCCTCTGTGGAGGTATAATGTGTCACAATTGTTCACATTTTCTTGACTCTAATTATGCAAAGCAACTAGTCAGTCCAATCGATCTGGAAACTAGTGAACTAATGTCCGCCTCGTCTCCATCAGATCCCATTCAACCTGGTAAATTGCAAAGACGAGGAAGTATAATTAGTTTACCTGCTATTCCCAGTTCATCCAATGAACCACAAATAAGAGTTTGCATCGACTGTAAACTACTTCTAGATCGTAGGAATCAGCAAATGTATGAACAACACTCCCGACCAATTATCTGTCAAATGTATGAAATGCACAGAGAAAATATCACAGAAGCAACCAGACTAATCGAACAGTATTATCAAATCATCGAATCTCTCAGGTAATTAAACCTCATTTATGCTCATCACCATCTCACTAACTAATACGCCCTCGTGATATGAAACTTGATGGTGGAGGGATTTCTACTTCTCTCTCTCTCTCTCTCTCTCTTCATATTTTTTTAATCTTTTTTTATTCTCAACCCAAACAGACACGGCGAATGTAATTACAAGGTTGAGGCCACACATGGGCAAGAAGTTAGAGTTAAATTAGTCAAGCTTGGTGAAAGAATCGATGCTATGAGGTTTGTCGAAATTCAAATTCGTCCTCAAAAGTAAAATCATCTATTAAGTAACATTTTACCTCCTCTTTCTTTTTTATAGTCGACGGATCAATGCTCTTGGAGTCCAAGGTGATATTCCATTAAATCAATCCCAAAGACAATTGCAAAGTCGTATTCGTGCTGCGGCTGTTGCTTTTATCCATCAAAAACTATCTGGCCTTCCACCGATTCCAACCCAAACTGAATATGATAAACTTCGAGAAGAGAAATTAAAAGCACAAGAAGCCAATCTTAATACTCCAAATGATTCTAAACAAATTAATCGATCAAGTAAAGTGTTTAATGTAACAAAATCAAATGAAAATCCTGTTGTAGCCAAAGACGGATGGACACCCGAAGTTAAATCAGTTAAAGATGTAAATCTCGCCGACATGGATCCAATGTTAATACAGATCAATCAAATCAAAGAATTTATTGATTTAGCTCGTAAAGCGAATAAATATGATGAGGCCAGTATGTTAGAGGCCAATTTAAGGGAACTCGAGGTAGAATACATGATGCAAAGTATTCCACCTAATGGATAATCAAAATGGACAATTAGAGACAAAAAGAAAAATTAACCGCATCTCCTAATCTAATCATCAGCAACAATTGGAATATTTTTGGAAATATCTATTTCCATTTTTCTTCAAATGCCTTTAATAAGTCATCTCATAGTCATTTAATTTCTGTGATCCAATCGATTTAATCATTCCAATTAATTTATTCCGAAATTGCGATATTTACACTTTTTGATTACAAGATGAAGATAAATTTCAATGACAATTAATATTTTGATTCCATCTCAACATATATTCTCGCTGAATCTTTTAACTTTTCAACTTAAAGTTAATCATTGAATTGATGTTGAGAATCAGCTAATTAACAATTAACTTGATTGGATATATTGTGAAAGAGAAACTGAAATATTGAGACTATTGGAAATGAAAGAAATGATTCTAAAGTCTGTGACTATCATCATAATTATATCATCACCAATTGACTTGATTTTAATTGTTGGGGAAAAAGAAAGCAAAATCCTCGTTATTAACCTTGAGTGGCTTTAAATCAACAATTTAAGTAAATATTAATTTAGTGTATCAAAAAATGAAACTTTGTATCTTTTTTGCTATTTATCTAATTGCCCTTTGGTGTTGTTGTTAATTATCATTATCATGATTGTGATCAATCATCAATAGCAATTGATTGTTTAATTGCTATAAATATAAAATGTGAAAGCAAAAAATATAAACTGTCATTTACTTAAATGATCTCGTTCTTGGTCAATGTTGATTGTTTTTTAATGATTTTCACAATTTTCTCCATACAAACTTAATTTTGATTCTTCTTACACAGTAACTGTTACAATCAATTCTAAATAGTTAACAAAATGTGATCAATTAAATCAGAAAACAAAGGTAAGTTGATTAACAAATTTAATCAACAATAATTATGTTGTATCTAAAACCAAATTAAAAAATTAAGAAAAATGTGTTTTAATTTCAGAGCTCATTCAACGATCGACTTACTAATTGTGACAATCTGTAAATCGACAACAAAAATGTAATAAAAAAAACGAATAAAAATTTTTCATTCACAAAAAAGTTTCCATTTAACTATCGGTCTTAAAAGTTGTAGAGAGAGAGAGAGAGAGAGAGAGAGAGAGAGAGAGAGAGAGATCAGATTATCTTTAAAAATTAAACTTCGCGAAAAAGTTTCTTCAAGTTGACTGAAGTTTTTCAGCCCACCGCCGCTCGAGGATTGATTTAAGAATCACCATCATGGGTACGTATGGGATAAGGGAAATGAGAAAGTGATTATAAAATTATTGTTCAAGTGAATGGCGGTGGACTGAATAATAATTGTTCGTCTCTTCGTCAGATCCCATTCAACCTTCTCTTTCTTTTTTAGGGTCGACGGACCAATGCTCTTGGAGTCCAAGGCGATATTCCATTAAATGGATCTCAAAGACAATTGCAAAGTCGTATTCGTGTTGCACTTTTATCCATCAAACTGTCACAATTTAATCGACATCAAGCAAGTGTCGATCTCTGGTGGAAATTATAAGAACTCGAATTTTTTATTCGAAGATAAAAAGAAAAGGAAAAAATATTAATAGGGATCAGTTATCCATTCGTTTGAACAACAACAACAGTAAATTAGAAAACATGATGAGTTAAGGCTACTTTTTGTTACCTTTAGACAGAATAGAAGAAAGAGATTTCGATCATCATCTTCTTCTTGTCTTCAACGTTATCATCATCATTAATTCCCGTGCAACTCTCACTTTCTAGTCTTTCGTTTCGTTTTTTCGCCTTTTTATCTTCTCTCATCCTCTCTCATTTCCCCTTACTTTTCTCTCTCCTTCTCTCTCTCTCTTTCTCTGTTTTTCTCCCTTCCATTCGCTCAATTTGTATTTATCTTACTTTCTCTGTTATTTTCTCTCTCTCTCTCTCTCTCTCTCCTTTATTTATCTCTATTTCTCCCTCTCTCAATTTCTCTCAATTTTTCTTATCTCTTTTTTTTCTCTTTTCTTGTTCTCCTGTGTATGTTTCGTGTCTATGTTTCTGTCTTTCATGATTGTCACAAATCACTCTTCATCTGTCTAATTTCTCTGTCTGTGTTAAATCATCCCTCATCATCTTCATCTTCATTTTCATTATCATCTTGGTCTTTTTCGTATTCTCTATCGTCATCTTCACCTCTTTCTGTTTCTCTTGTTTCTTCAACTCAATGTTTATCAAAGAGAAACATAAACACAGTGCCATTGCCTCTTCGGAGGTTAAACAACGCCTGCAAGAATTTGTTTTAAATAAACAGCGAGAGGCTAATCAACAAAAACCACAATCAAATCAACTACCACCACAACAACAACCTCAACCACAACAACCACCACCAACATCCCAATCACCACAACAACAACATCAACAACAATTACCAACACAAGTATCGACATTAGCACAACACCACCACCACCTTCAGCATCATCATCACCATCAACCACAACAACCTCATCGCAATGCAACCGGATCAGTGTGTAATTCAATTACGGGAACAATCAACAATGGACAACCACCGGGTACCTGTAAATCCTCCATAACCAATAATTCAAATCAATTCGTACACCTTGCTTGGTGAGTCTCTCTCTCTCTCTCTCTCTCTCTCTCTCTCTCCTCCATTGAGACCACTTATTCTCTCATTTATCATCTCCCTCGTATTACAACACCAACATTCAATAATATTATTCTTCAAGATTTTGCAATGAATCCACTTCTATTTACACAGATTGACATAGGAAAAAGAAAGTGGGTGCAAAATTGTTCTGCATGGGAAACATGCTATTGATATGATTTTATTAAACACAAATTATACGCATATGATATTTTCTATTACTATTATTACTATCATTGTAGGTTAATTTGTTTCCTATTAGTAATAGATATATTGATTTATATGATATTCCAAACAGAAAACTCAATAGTCTCTCTCTCTCTCTCTCTCTCTCTCTCTCTCTCTCTCTCTCTCTTGTTTTCTTTCTTTCTCACTTTCCCTTTTATATTTCCACCATTTTCAGTTATTTCTGTTGATTCAATTCTTGTCATTTTAGTTACAATTCATTTTTAGTATTTACACCATCATTAAATATCATCATTGCTTTTACAAGATGGTTACACTCTCCCCCTCTCTCTCTCTCTCTCTCTCTCTCTCTCTCACTTTCTCTCTCTCTTTTCTCCCTCGTCATCCATTTTCGAGATTCTTTCTTATTTTATTGATCTAATATAAATTAGGCTATCATGAAACCTTAATTCACAGAAATGATTAACAAAATTTTACATTTGATTATCATCTTGTTCATCGACATGATTGTTGTTTTTTGACCTTGTTTCAGTTTAGTGATTCCTGATTTTGATTTGATTTGATTTTTAGCTATTCCTTATTACTATTATTATGTTTACTTATTCATTGCTATTTGTTTATGTCCATTGACAGGGCTGTTTACATGTTAACAGTTTACAATTACGTTTAATACTATTTGTATTATTGATTGTTTGATATTATTATTTTTGTCTAAAATTTATCGTCAATCATTTCAGTTTATCAAATGTTATTAATTTATAATCTAAAACATAAAGTAATCAAATATCAAAAGAAATTGATGGAAACATCATAATTACAGATTAATCATGTTTATTATTAAATGGTAGTAGTAAAAAGTGAAAGATGATTAAAACTATCATTTTAATTAGAATCTCTTGAAAAATTGTAATTGTTGACGAATATGATTTCATAACAACAAAAGTGGATTCGATATATATAAAAATAAATGGTGTTAAGAGGTTAAGGGGAAAACTCATCTTCCTCATCCTCATGCTGTTTTAATAAAGAAACATTAAGCTTCCAAGAAAATGTTAAGAAAACATTATTAGATGAATGCTTTTTTTAGCCTTGGAAGATGAAGATCGTAATGATGATACACTTTGAAAATTGTCCATTGGGTTGGTTAGGGTTAAATTTGGAAACATTTTCAATGTTTAAATATAGTTAGTTAATTGTTGATCCATGGAAAGTGAGAGTAAATTGAATAACAAGGAAGTTGACAGTTACTCGCCAACACGTTTCAGTGTTTCTTTCATGTATCTTTCCTTTTTCTCATTTACTATTTTCATTGAATTTATCTCCATTATTATTAGAAAGATGATCATCTCCATGTGATAATCTAGGTGACCTAGAGAGTTTATTCAATTTGACAAAAATAAACTTTGTTGTGGGAGGAAGATTAAACTATTAGGAAGAGATAAAGTGAGAGATGATGATGATAATAATAATATTATCTTCAACGATGGTCATCTTTTTTTTATCCACATAATCTTATCCAATCACTTGTTCCCTTTCATTCAATCACAACTAATTCCTTTTAACTTATTTTCTTTTACCACCATAGGAATCCAGTCTCTGGAAAATATGAAGAAAACTTAAGCACCTTAAGGAAAACAGGTAAATATGTTTTATTAATTGAAACGTAGGTGTTGATGATGATGAAAACAACTGTGATAATTAACCTGATTACCGTTACAATAGAGACAATGATCCATGTATCTTTCAAATCACCCTCATCATCATCATCAGCATCCTTTTCACATTTACAGTTATGAGTATAAAAATATACTCGTAACGTTGATATTAAGTGTGTATATTGAACAGAAAGAGTCAAGTTATAATTGGCAACTTAACAGAATAAGAAGATCGAGTGAAGATGCAAAGAACGACAACTTTGAAGATGATGAAGAGAGAGAGAGAGAGAGAGAGAGAGAGAGAGAGAGAGAGAGAGAGAGAGAGAGAGAGAGATGAAAACGTCATTATTGTCAAGGTCTTTCTACAATTTTCCTTGCAAGTTAAGCAAACATTAACATGCATTTAAAAAAAGCACCAATTTAACTTACATATAATGTTATTAATATAATAATGATAATATTATTAATTGCAACCACATCTACAATGATAATTACAATTGCAATTTACTGTAACAACAAAAATTTACACCTTGATACACTTTTTGTTTTTTTATATACTATGGTTGTATTTTCAATGCTTGATAATTTTCCTCCACCTCAGCTCATCCAAATCCATTATCAGAATCAATTATCCCTTGTTATGTGATTTAATTGCACAATTAATTAACTAATAAATAACTTCTCTCTCTCTTTTTCTCTCTCTCTCTCTGTGCTTCTGTACTATCCTCTCATCATAAATTCATCTTGAACCATCAACAGCTTCCGAACCTAATTTAAAAGTGCGATCAGCATTAAAGCAAAAAGTTATCGAACGGAGAAGTAACCAATCACCTCTTCTCAAACGTAAATTACCTAAAAATCGAGGTCGACATGGTCCAATATCGACTGGATCATCTTCCCTAGTGCATCAACATTCCTTGTATGGATCTATCACCGAAGGCTCAGCTTCGGCTCCTGTTTCCGCATCATCATCAAGTATGCATGAAAAATTAATCACTTCTATTTACTAATTACAATTAATGACAATTTCACAACACGATACATATAATCCTTTTTTCATATTTCATATGTATTGTTTATCATCTCTCTCATTCTCTCTCTGTCTTAGTCTGTATCATTGCCGAATGATACACATCTAAATATAATTCATCTCTCATGCTCATCATGATGATTTTTCCTCAAGAAATTCTTGTCAAGGTTGTAAACTTCAGGCCGATGATATTTTGCTTATGATTATCTTTATAGTTTACTAATTAACAAGACTTTCTCTCTGATTCTAATTGAAAATCATATGATTCAAATCAACAAGTAATCAATTGACTCAAAGTCAGTTAGAAATTATCATCATCAACATTAATTATGTTCCAATATTTTTCCATTATATTAATCAATATTATACTCTCTTGTTGATTAATATAATAATAACATTTCTCTTTCATTTATTATCAGCTGACATGATGATTAGCCTCATAGTTTCGAACAATAATTAACAGTAATTATTAATCAATTAGTGTGATTATAATTTTTTGATCATCACTTTAATCATGAAATTTTCTCTCTCTCCATTAATATGGTTCTTTGACTTTCAAGTTCATCATTATATCTCCATGATTACTCATTAAACAGTAACAATTCTGATGAGTATTATATTTCTTGAAGATAATCAAGGAAAATAAAAAGAACTAAATTTCCCAAACCAAAATAGTTAACTGATACAGCTTTGAACATTTAAATTGTTTAGCCTTGATTAAGAAAAAAAATCGAAGTATATTTATATCTTATTACATTTACAGTTATAATCTAAGCTTGAAAATCGCTCTGCTTGTATTTTAATCACAATGATCAAGTTATTTTCAGTCTAATATCCTCTTCAGCTGATTTAAAATACTCACTGAGTTTTCAGGAGGAGGTGAAGGTGGAGAAACTTAAATTAGAACTATTTTGGGATAAACTTGACACTCTCAAGGTTACAGATCATATGTTTCATATTCACAGTGATGATCATTTTCAGATAATCAAATGTAAACAATAATTTACCAAGAGAAACCAGAATCACCTTTTGGAGATGAAAACATTAATTACTATTACGGAACTTTACTGTTATTAGTTTATTGTTTCTGGTTATTTGGCTGTTTCCGGCTTTCTGATAATCATATGCCCAATTTCGTCTAATTTTTAATCAACTGATTAGTTTATCAATCGTTTCTCACCTGAAATTTTTCAAAAAAAAACAATTAGCTAGACGATAAAGTCAATTAACTAGCAGAATCAGTTTTCCCAGTCGATCCATAACTCTTCATATCGATAGTAATTAACTCCTGGTCATAGTGAAATCCCTTTACCAAAATAACAAATGAAAACAAACAATTACAATTATGAAACTGATTAATGATTAATTTTTATCAATCAAATCGCTAAATACTATAAATTGAAACAATAGTCAATATTGTTTACAATTGTTGTTCAGAGGAAAATGATCCTCATCATTTTACAGATAAATCCTTTTAAAGTAAAATGATTATTTTGATGATTGGACAATTCCAACATCATCATCATCATCATTCTGATCATTTCAATTCTTATATTGTTTTAAAATTTCAAAGTTTCTCCTTCCATCATCATCTTTATCATGTGTTTTTAGAACTTTTTACTTTTCGTCAAACATCATCATCATCATCACCATCTTCATCTTCATCTTCATCATCCTTATCATCATCTTACATGTACTATCTGTTTGCCTCTATTTTTATAAATACAAGCAAACGTCCTTGAGCGATTACTCTGTTTACCCATAAATTGTTGCAAAAATGGGATAAACATCATCATAATTATAATCATAATCATCATGCTCATTCTCATTGAACGACATTGAGCTTTTTTCCTTAGCATTTCAATGCCTCAGGCTCAATCAGAATTAAAATATTATCGTTATCATCATCAATATAATCAATGATTTCTCACATAAGCTAATTTACTAGCAGCGCTAATTACTAATTCAAAATTCAACAATCAACTGATTGATTGTTTTTCCTCTGTAATTTATCATCACATCACTTTTATAATTAAGGTGAACGACTTTAATTGTGTTAATTGTTGAACTTTAATAATTTCTAGTAATCAATTAACAAAATTGACTTTAATCACAATAAGGTCAAGAAAAAATTTTCTTAATCTTGTTTACAAAAAATCACTAACTAATTATTCAAGTTAATTTAATGTTTTTTTTTTAATTTACTTTCTAATGATTATCATCAGTTAATTATTTTTTTTGTTGTTTTCAACTCTTTAATTTTTCTCTTCTCTTTAAATTTCATTTTCATTACAATTTAATTTTCTTATCAGCGTAACAATTTGATTCTCAGCATCACCATGATTACAATAACGATTGATTAATTTTAGAAAGTTAACTTGATTACCTTGATTTTGATTCTAAATTTTTTTCTGTTTCCTTATTTCCATCTCAATTATACACATACACTTATTTATACTCTATCATTATTGTAAGAAATTAATGTGTCATCAATTAACTTGATTATCACATTTCGTTAAGGACGTTCAGACGAAACAATCTCAACGTTGACAACGAAACGATAATAAAAACGAGATGAAGATCAACTAATAATATAAATATTCTGATTATATATTAATAGTATTGAGGGAAAAAAGGTAATAGAATTTAAATTGTAATTATCTAACTGTAAATACTTAACAACAGAAAAGTGAATTACAATTAAAATATTAATAATAAATTGGAAATGTAATTTAACCAAACATTGACATTGAAAATGAAACATTGTTACATAATTGAGGAATCAGTTAATTGTCTTGATTATCATAATTAATTATTAACTGTAGTTTATTTTAAATAGTAATTGTTGTTATATTATGTATCGGATTTTAAAGTAATTATTTTAATCAAATTTTTAAATTGTCAACCTTGAAAATTGTAAAAAAAAAGAAAACAATTTGATACTAATGCTTTTTGATTAACAATTTACCTTGATTATTTTTTCAGTTTAGTTAATTTGTTTTGTGATTCAATTAATTGATGATTAATTATGATTTGGTTTTGTGAATTAAGAGGAAGACTTAATAATGATGATGATTGAAACAATTTGATTTAAATTGCATCGGTTTTTTTTTGTTAAATCATCAGTTAAGATTAATTGATTTACAGGTTTGAGAAAATGTTTCCTTTCTTGATTATCTTTATTAGATTTACGATTAACAAGAAAACAACTATAATTAGTTAATTGTAATCAGAAATCATCAAATAAGTGCAATATGATTACAATTAGCTAATCAACTGTTATAACAATTGTTTGCAAAATCTAATACAATTATAAATAACTGAAAAGAAAAGTCAACTCACTAATCAATTGATCGTTAAATTATCAATGATTATCACAATCAACTAATTCTCAATTGGATTGTTAATCATGACCAATTTTCGATTCAAAATAGAAAATTAATTTTACGTTATTTAATTTCTACATTGATTATTGTTTTGATGATCAACTTATGATATATTTACCTGTTTCTCGATTGGCCAATAATCATAACCTTACCTTGATTAGATTTGATATTTTTGTTCATTTTATAATGATTTAGTGTCTTTCTCATTCATTATTGTTATTATCATGATTATTATTACTTTTATGATTGTTTCTTATGTGAGCATAAAAATAATACGAGAATTGTAATATTATGAGAAACTAAAAATACATTTGACATTGAAGTTATTGTTACCATGAAGTATTAGATATTTTGTCTGATCGTTTTTCAAATATATCATTTTAATTTATATTTTCTCGTCTTATTGATGATATATTTTCCTATCCATTGATTTGTTTGTGGCTTCGTCCTTATCATCATAGTTAAAATGATTATATGCTGATGATATTTTCGCTCATTTCTCTATGGACATTTTCTTATTGTCTTCCTGTTGATTGTTGATGTTTCTCTCTCTCTCTCTTTCATTGCTTGTTGATTGTTGTTGATCATGATGAATCCATTGAAAGATAAATACCTGTTTTCATTTCTCCATGGAAAGAAAAAGTAGCAAAGAATGTTTTTTTTTCACTCTAACCTCTGTTACTATGTATATTTCAAATTGAAAGCTTCATTAATCCCATCGGTTTTTCAATCTCTTTCGTTAGTTTCTTTCTTTTTCTCTCTCTCTTAAAAAGTAGGTCAGGTTAGGTAAGTTGTTATAATAAACTCTATAAAAACCAGGATTTTTACTGGTAAAAAGGTAGGGAAAAGTAAGGTTTCTCTTTCTTTTTCACTGTTACACTCTGTTCTGTACTTGCCTCTACCATATCATCAGACATTGATAATTTAGTTTCTATTTATAACTTTCAGTGTTGTTGCTGCTGCTCAGGTTCACATATACATAGACATTTATACACATACAGAAAGATATAAACATGTACATGAACATGCATATACTCATAACAATATTATAAAAGAATGAGATTGAAATGATGATGATGATGAAAAAAGAAGTAAAATGAAGAAAAAAATCTATTGATATAAACTTTTCTCTTCCTATGATGATGACAAAAAATATGATGGTGATGATGAAAAACAATTACACCAACATGAAGAGTATCTTCCTTATCCTTGAGATTTATTGTTTACATTATGGCTACATGATTAATACAATTAAATAGATAAAAAAAAATATCATATCTAATTGATGAGAATGATAATTAATAATTAATAAGTTGAACAAGAGTCACAATGATTTTCCTTTGATTACAATCATTGAAATTAGATTGATATTTTTTTGTCCTTAAAAGGGGAAAGTTAATTAATTTCATTCCGAGTGATGTGACCTTAATTGTAGCCGTAATTATAACAGATAATTTGATTAGATAACAGGGACGCAGATTTTAATGGTTAAGGTTAAAGACCAGAGTAAATTGTTGGTTAATTGCGAATTGAGAAATATGGAAATTTGTTCCTTTTGCTTTCCAAAAAGGGGTTAACACAATAACAACACTTTCGTTTTCTTTTTTTTGATTTTTTCACAAAATAATCAAGATTAATTACGATGCGAGTTAATGCTTTGGATTTTTTTCGTCTTTTGATTGGACATAATATCAGGACCGATGAGTAGAATCAATAACAGGGTACATTCATTTGATGAACAATTGGATTAAAAACATTGACACAGAAATACATTGAGAAAAAAACAGACTAAAAGATAATAACCAATACAAAAAAAAAATGGGAAGAATTTGTTGGCTTTTGATTAGAACTCGGTCTTTGACCGTTATCAGTTACACATTGATCTAAGATCCATTAAAAACAAATGACATAAATTATTGATTAAAAGGGTTTAAAATGTTGATTTGTTTGGGTTCTAGTGGAAGTTTAACTTCCTTTCTGACTTCTTATAAACTGTAAGAAATGATAGAAAAGACAGAAATAGAAGCATGATTAGAAAATTGAATTAGTTGTTACAATTCAAACAATTATTAATGAGTAAATTACTTACTTTCGATAATATTGTCATAAACAGAGTCGTTAGTAGCTTCTTCGAGGTCTTGGACCATAACTACCAAACTATGAAAGAGCATATCGTCTTCTTCCGTGAGTCTCAATTCTTCACGAAAGAAGTGTAGAAGATCTTGAATATTAGAGTCAACCACTTCATGAGGGATTGACTTATCAACGGGTGATTTACTCCTGACTTCATCGCCCAGTTCAGCCATATGAGTAGTGAGCTTGTCACATTCTGTTTCTAAAAAGAGAATCAAGAAGAAATCAAAAGAAAAAGCAATCAAATTAGAAATGTAAAATTTATCAATAATAATAAGAGAGTATAAACAAAGGGAAAGAAAAGCTAAAAATTGAATAAAACCTTGAGTGAGAGAAAGAGAGAACAGAAAAGAAAGGGAAAGAGTCAATTCTTAACTCTTTTTTTCTTTATTCTTACCTAATACTGTCTTTTTGCTCTTTTTGTTCTTCATGCGTTCATTGTAGATAGCAATCATGTCTGCTTTCTTACCAAGCCTGGCTTCTTCGGCATTTCCATTTCTTTTGATATATTGCATATCTGCCATATACTCTTGTCGTTCTTTAGTTTCAATACATTTGCGACATTTACAGTCTCGATGCTTACAATGTCGCTTATGCCCTAAAGAAAAAAAAGAAGAAAAAAAAATGCGAGAAGAAAAATATTAACCCTAATGTCTCATTGAAAATGGAAGAAGATTAAAAATTTGTTAATCTTACCTTTGAGTAAAACTTTGATTCCGTGATTCAAGCATATAGCACAATTAGGTTCTCGTTTCTTTTTCTTCTCGTCATTCATGATAGTAGATGATTATAATTAAAATAAATATCAAACAAATATTATGGCACAATCAAAACAGAAAATTAATTCTTAACAAACACAACAATCAAAGCGACTCAGTTATTGGAAAAAGACTCGAGCGCCTCCACTGGTTGTGTAAAGTTTTCCAACTAACGTGAATTGTGAAGAGCTGAATTTAAATAAACCCTAACTCAGAGTCTCTTCTTGTAACCAGAATATAAAATTACATTTGTAACAATTAGAAGAAAATTAATCATTCTAATGAAATTAATTAGCTGATGGAAACAAAAAAAGATATTCTCTGTGTATTTATGACGAATGGATTTACTGTTTGACTTTTCTTTCTTTACCATTGGTCTGTTGTTATCTAATCTTAATCTAAACTAATTGAAATCGTTTCAAGTTCCCAATCAATTGATTAGCAATTTGTCCACATCCAAGTGATAATTAAAGATAAAGACCTAATGATGAAAATGATGAAAAAAAAGTTCCCATTGTGTTGGCCTGTATTTTTTTGTTCTTCATGTTTTCTGGGTCTTGGTTCCTTGTGATTGTTGAACCAGAATTTGAATGTTTCTATTCACTTTCTCTCTCTTTCTATTTTCCTCCTTTTTTCATCTTCTTTTCCTCTCATTTCATGATGATCATGCTGATGAAAAGTATTATAAATATAGAGAGAACACCAAGTACATGAAGAAGAGAAAAATATTCTCCTGAACCTTTTATTCCTCTTTCTCTTTCCATGTCTATTTATATATTTGGCCTTTTCTATTTATAGTTCAATCTATTTTTCTCTTTCTTCTTGCCTTTGGTATTAATCTGAGTCTTACTTGTTTTCTCTTTCTTTTTCTCTGTCTATCTTTTTACTTCTTCTTCTTCCTTTGATGCTGTTGTTCCTGTTATTTTCTTCATCTTCTCCATCCCCTCTCTCTCTCTCACTCACTCTTGTTTGCATCATCTCAGTGATACAAGAAAATAGTCCACCAACAAGTCCCTATGGAAGTTCATCGATAAAACCTTTGGATTCAGATAATTCAGGGAATTTGCTTTCTCATTCTTCGCATCCAGATGATTGTCATATAACTAATTTTATAACCGGAAATCATATTGACAGGGGAGGAGGAGGCAGTGGGAATGGTAGTCCTCCATTGCATTCGTCGTCGCTTCATCATTCGGGAGCCATTCTATCACATTCTTATGTCCATCCTCATCCACATCCAGCCACCACTCATCATGTAGCCTCAATCGATGGTTCAATTGGTCATCCGACGATAATTAAGTCAAACCATCGTCGATTAGGACGAACTCACTCAGCACCTCTTCCTTTAGGTCACCTTAAACTACATTCAGCCTCTTCGTCACCCGTCTCATCACTTACTACTTGTACCACATCTTCATCTCCCTCTGACCATCAATCGTCAACACCTCAACAAGTAACACCTTCATCATCATCCCAACATCATCGGAATCTTGTTAAACAACATATTAGGCAAACGGTGTTAACCCGAGCTTCAAGTAAACAACAACTTCAAAGTCAAAGTTTCGAAGAGGAAACAGAAGCGGCAATTGCTCAAGATGATATGGTTGATTCACCGCTGGGGGCTATGGGAGTTACATCATCTTCCAGTGGAGTGGGAACTATGGGATCAGCAGCATCTACACCTCCACTAACAGGATCGATATCCAATTTACCTGGTGGAAGCAGCATTCCAAGTCGAAAAGAAAGAATCAAACGCCAATACTCACAAGAAGCACCACCCACACCGGAAGAGGGAACATCTTCTTGTTCAATAAGTGGAATTGAGTCAAGTTATTCAATCGATTATTTAGCTAGTGGGAGTGGGTCAGGTTCGGTTGGTTCAGCGTCGAGTGGATGTAAATCTCGAGAAGCAACACCAACCGAATTGGGAGGAATTGTAAGAACGGGAAGCGGTGGAAATGGTAACACAAGTGGGGGAGAACCGATCATGATGAAACAATCGAGTCATGAACGGGAAGCATTCCTTGCCCAACAACGGGACTTGATATCACCTCAATTGCAAATGCCCCCAATTCAAGATCCCGCTTTATATGAGCAAATTATTTATCAACTTCAACAACAACTCATTTTATTTCAAGGACAACAACACAGTCAACCCTCCCCTCCGAATCATCAATCCTCTTCCTCACTGCACCATTCAAATTCATCCGTAATAACATCACATCCACACCATCCCTCACATGGACATCCACTTCCACCTCCACCACCACCGCCACCACCTTCCACTGTTGTTACTCATCATCACCCTCATCATCCACTCCATACAATATCATTGCTTCCAGAAGGAAATCAATATCCACAGATTCTTTCTCATTCCCGTTATCCATATTACGACTCAACTCGTCCACTTTCCCGAGCCTCATCAAGTCCTTTTGTAGCACTTAAATCATCGTCTTTGGAAAAGTCGTCATCTCTCTCACCACCAATTAACTCTAGAAAATCAACAACAGGCTTAGCCTACGATAATCTTATGCTCAAACATCAATGTTGCTGTGGAGATAATTCCTTCCACCCTGAACACTCTGGTCGATTACAATCGATTTGGGCTCGTCTCCAAGAAACTGGTCTTGCCTCAAGGTGTGAAAAGATTCGCTCACGAAAAGCATCACTAGAAGATGTCCAATTATGCCATTCAGAAGCTTATTCCTTACTTTTTGGAACTAGTCCTTTAAACCGACCAAAACTGGATGCCGCCAAATTGGCCGAGTTACCGATTAAATCTTTCGTTATGTTAGCCTGTGGTGGGATTGGCGTCGATTCTGATACAACTTGGAATGAGCTACACACCGCATCGGCTGCGTTAATGGCTGTTGGCTGTGTATGTGAATTGGCCTTGAAAGTTGCTCAAGGTGAATTGAAAAATGGTTTTGCCATTGTAAGGCCTCCAGGTCATCACGCTGAAGTTAACCAGGCGATGGGATTTTGTTTCTTTAATTCCTTGGCCATTGCAGCTCAAATGATACGAAAAAAGCACAACATGGAAACTATTTTAATTGTTGACTGGGATGTTCACCATGGTAATGGAATTCAGCAGATTTTTTATGACTCATCTCATGTACTGTACATTTCACTTCATCGTCATGATGATGGTAACTTTTTCCCCGGTACCGGTGATCCAACTGAAATCGGTATTGAAGATGGAACTGGTTTCAATGTGAACATCGCCTGGTCCGGTGGAATATCCCCCGAAACTAAAGGTGACGCTGAATATTTGGCAGCTTTTAGGTCAATTGTTTTACCAATTGCCAAAGACTTTGATCCGGAAATTATTCTGGTCGCTTGTGGGTTCGATGCTGCCGCTGGTCATCCACCACCATTGGGAGGTTATCAAGTGTCACCAGCATGTTTCGGCTGGATGACCAAACAATTGATGAAATTAGCTAACGGAAAACTTGTCTTAGCATTAGAAGGAGGGTAAGTGGTGACTTGTTTTTCCTTCTAACAATTTGAAACACAATCAAACTGACCATTTTAATTGTTCACTTATTGTTAATCTTTCAGGTACGATTTACCTTCGATATGTGATTGTGCCCAAGAAAGTGTAATGGCCTTGCTCGGGGATGAGACAACTCCTATTAATGACCAAGAGCTCAATCGACAGCCATCTCAACAGGCCATTGATACACTTAAAAAAGTTATTAACATTCAAGGTAATTTAAATTTGGATTTTAATTGTTGTTATTTTCTTGTTTACATTGATTAATGTTTACTTACACTTTACCAAGTTTCATGATTATATTGTGTTTAATTTTTGATAGCAATTTACATCTAGAGGCAACTTTAATTGCTAAGGGTTACAAATGATGATATTCTTGTTGTATAGTTAATTTAAAACAAAAAAAAATTTGATTGTAAATTTGATTGAGTTGTAATTTAGTGAATAAGTAAATTACATAACTTGATATTTTACATTCATCTTAAATGATTTACTTTATAAACAAGTTAATTATTTTTGAGGATAACAATTAATAGCAAGGTAATCCAGATTTTACAACAATTTGAGGTTTCACTTAATCAAATTAATTTTAATTTCTTTCATTGATAATAACCAAAAATAATCAAAATCTAGTTCACCTTTTTGATTAAAATTGCTGAATGGAAACAAAAATAAACAACCTTGCAAATTGTTATGATTTACACTTTAATCAACATTAAAATGATTAAGATTATCAATGATTATAATTACAGTTAATCTGTTTATGTAATAAACAAATAAATTTTAATCATTATGATAATTTAAAAATACCGTTAACATTTTGTTTATCTGATTGATTATCATAATATTTAAAAAAATCATTTAGAAAGTGAAATTAACCATATTGATTGAAATTTACCAGCAATTAAATTCAATAATAATAATCAGTTAATTGTTTTAAGATCATCATATAACCTTGTTTCATAATGAAACTTTCATTTAACATGAAACAATTTACAATATTTCTAGTTTCATTATGATTAATTCAAAATTAACCATGGAACAATTAACTGATTTAGTTTAATGATGACTTTTCATTTTCATCAAATTTTCTTTTGTATTCAATTAATCATTAATGATACATTGTTTCTCTTTAATTGTGATTAAATTGTCAATTGGCTCAAATAGCTGCTCATTGGCCTGTAGTTAAACGTTACGCTCATCTCATTGAATGTTCACATTTGGAAGCTCAAGAAGCCGATAACGATGAGTTCGGAGCACCCGCCTCAGCATTGGCCTCTCTTACCATGAAGCATTTAAAGTATGTAATTAACGGTTAATTGTTGAACAAAATTAACTAATTAAAATGACAAACCTTTTTTTTTTCTCAATGAACGATCAAATAACTAATTGTTTATTTCTGTTTCTTAACCAACAATTAGTTCTCAACCTTCAAGTGAGGAACCAATGGATCAAGATGTGGATAAATGAAAATCTTAATCAACCAAAGTGATAGAAGCAATTAAAATAGAAAAGAATCTTTGTCAAAATTATAATCGAAAGTGATGTTTACACCATGATGACAATTTTGATTGCGAAAACAAATTGTTATTGGTTAAACTTTTTTTCATTTCTAAAGAAACCAGATTATAATCCAAAGGGAATATTTCCATTGCTTTAATTAACGATGACAATGATTAAATTTAATCATGGATATTAAATGAAAGACAACAAGGTGACACTGATAATAATCATTTCATGTGCATCATCATCATTGTTATCATTCATATTGTGTTGATTAACCAGACCCACTTGGTATGAAATCCACCACCACCACCACCTCCAACCACCAACCATCACCATCGTCATTATCATCAAGGTACATTCATATACGTAAACCGCAAGGTACACCAAGCAAGAAGGATAAAGATATTAATGACAATTAATAGCAACAATTAACCAACCAGCAAGTTTCTCATTGGTGAAAAACTGATCATCAACAACTACAAACCATTCACAACCGCACCCTCCAAAGATCATCTTATGCCAAAACACACACACTTTGCTATATAATTAATAATATTACTATTGTTATTATTATCATCATGATTATAATTACTTTTATTATTATTGTCTAATGTTTTAATTTAGATAATGATAATATTAAGACAACCTCCACTCTTGTTTAACAACAATCCCCTTAATCTGATCATCTATCAATCTACTACTCTAATCAATTTTAACTATTACCTCTATTTCCGTCTTGGTCAAAGTAATTGAAGCAAACAAGATTGACCCAAGAAGCCAATTAATTGGCTAATTAATATAAATATGATATTGTAACAATAACTTAGACTCGTAATTCGTATTAAGTGTTAATCACTGTCTCTCTTTCTCATATACAAAAACAACCAATTAGAAATACAATTAGCTAATTGTTAATAAGAAATCTTGTTTGCTTCTCTCTCTCTCCCTCTCTCTCTTTAATTGTCACAGTTTAAAAGTTAAATTACCAATTAATCTTTATTGGTAATCAAGATTTGTAATCTTAATCCTTTGAGAGACAAAAAGCTCAGTTAATCCTGCTAATCAAAATTTTCTACCCACAATTAATGATTAGCAATTCTCAATCAATCGGACCATATTTGTTACTTTATAGCTTCACTGTTAAAAATTGTCACCCAAAATCCATAACCAATCAATACAATAATGAAAACAATTTAAGTCAACAAAAAATTCACAACCAAATAAGAAACATAATTAACACTCATGGAAACTTGTTTACATATTATGCTATTTAATAAGAAGATAAAAAAAAACCAAACAATTATAAATATTATAAGATAATATCATACAATACAATTAATATATTAATCTATTGCTACAATTGATTGTTAATTAGCCTTTGGTTTTCCAAGAAAAAAAAGACAAGAATCTAATTCAAGTTCATCTTAATAGCCTTTGCCTTTCTCTTACACTCCCTGATTGTTTTCCTTAATTTGATAATATAAACTTAATTGTCTTGCCAGAAAAACTTTTCTCAATGAAGAATCAGAAAAAGTTTAAAATTGTAATTGAAATGAATCAACATCGAGATGAATGAATCTGCTGAACCCTCAACAACCACCAAGGAATCACCTTTGCATTTGACTAATTTGTTTAATTACAATTTACTTGAAGACAAAACAATGATTTGCCATCATCATCCTCATCCTCATCCGCATCCTCATCTAATATACATATGATTATATTTTGTTTCTTGTCTCTTTGTTCAATGTCAATACCTTGTCATCTATTTCCCACTCCCACTCTCATCTTGACACCACTTCCACCTCCACCCTGAGCATCTCATCATTTTCTGTATCTTAACTCATATTTTGTTTCTGTTTATCTTTTTCGTTCATTTCTCTTGTTTTCTTGGTCGATTGGCTTAATTGTCTAATTATCATTTCTATTACCATAATTATTATTATGCCAAAATTGTTAACAAACAAATAAGATTTTCTAATCATTGACACACACCTCTGATGATAATTAATGATGAAAAGATGATCAAGACTAAATTAACTAAGGAATCAACCAGTTTCTCTAATTATTTTACAGTAAACTTTAAGTTATTTTGTAATTAACGAAATGATTAATGTTAAATTTTTGTTCCCTTTGTAACAATCATCAACATAATTAATTGTTTTCGACGTTATCGATATTTTTGTTTTCCTTTCCTTTCTCCTTTTCTTTTATTATTTCTAATTGTTACAATTAACTTTAATGTTTACTGTAAAATTGACAGAATCACAATGCTAGTCATTGATTAATAATCTATGATAATTATTACGATTTCAATATAATTATATAAATATAAATATTATACATAAATGTAATTCAGTTTAAACATTTCGATTTCTTTCATTTTTCAATCAAGATGATTTCGAATCAACAATTTATTTTTAATCATCACAATTAGACTGCCCTTACCTTGTTGATCATCTGATTGTTTATTTTTTTCCTCATTACCTAATTGACTTTTTTTCCGCTGTTTTGTTTTATAAGAAAATACAATTAATCAATTTCCGATTCCAGTCATTTTTTTCTTAATTGTTTTCTAATGGATTACAATTAACCAATTGTCTCTCTCTCTCTCTCTCTCTCTTCTTAATATTAATGTAATATAAATGATGAATACCAACATTGTAAACAAACATTATATTGAATTTTCCTTGATCCGCTTTTCGTCCATAAAGAATCATAAACTGATAAGATTGTTAATTGTTTTCACAACAAATTAACTATCGGAGTTAATTGGGTTTTATTATCAAGATTTTTTCCGCAAATTTTATGTTATTTTCATGACAGTGGGATAAACTTTTAATCCGAAATGAAATGAGAGTGGATAAGCTTTGTTTTTTTTTTGGTTCCATGATCAATTACAGCAATTAGAGTAATAAATAGAGATGAAAATAATGATTAGTATTAATCGATGGTCAAATTGTTGTTGGTCTTTTTTGACTTGATAAGAAAATATCGAATCAATAAATAATGTGGAATATAAGTCTCCTTTGAATAATATTACAATTCTTGTTCTAAGCTCTTATCTAAAGATGGGTAAAGATAAATTTCGTGATCAAATAATTAGATGGGTCATATTGTTGCCTTTTTTTTAAATTTGAAGTACAAGACCAGCGGCGGAAACATTATCACCTCCACCTCCAGTTTGTAAAACATTGGTGCAAACCAGAACAGGAGCCACACAGAATTGAATTTTCTGCTTGTTATCAAGAGTTTCTGACCAACAGGCTACTGGAACATTTGAATTGAAAACTATTCGTTGGATGTTTTGTTTTGAACTTCGTGTTGTTGAAAATGATTCATCCATGATTAGTCTCGCTTTCGCTGAGTCAATCTCATCAGATCCACATGTATGCCGATGTGAAGTAAGAGCAGCTTTAGCAGCGGCAGCAGCTGAATTTTTCCAATCAGAATTGGCATGAACTAGTATTGCTTGGAAAGCTAAAGTGTGAACATGAATCCGACTAATCCGACCATTTGTAAAGGAAAACATGGCCTCGTAAATGTCCCTCATTTGATCCAAAACTGTAGCAACTCGAGGATATGGATCAGAGACCAGAGTTAAATTGCCAAAGGTTAACATTTGATAAAGATTAGGTAATTCTTGCTCATTCATTCCCAGCGAGTCAACATGGGGCAATATCAGTTGAATAATATCACGAAGGATAGTTTCGTCTGAATAAGATGCCATTTCAAAATGAAGTTTGGTCTGTTTATTATCACCACGATGCTTGAAATTTTCTTTAATGTATGAACTAACTTTCTCCAATCGAGAGCGTTTCTTTTCACTATTTCCTGGATAACCTTCCATCATTTGTAAGCCTCCGATAACAAATAAATCAGGTTGAAAGTTATTCATTTGTCGGTGAAATATTTCCAATGATTTGAGAAGAGGATTATTATCATCATTATGTACAATAAAACGATTCGCTCTTGGAGATGAGTAAAGGTCTAACCAATTCTCTCCAGTTGGATATTCAATTAAAAGATGAACATCATCGGTTTCCGTTGAAGGTCCAGCGATGGTTATACTTGAGGTCAAATATTTACTCAATTGAGGTGACATATGAGCTCCAAGTAAGATATTTTTGATCCCTTCTTTAGCCAAACGAGAAGCCATAATTGGTGCATTACCTCCAATAGATTTTAAAATATCACAGGTTTCACTAATTGAGACAAGTTCTTTAAATAAACTTTGATTGTTAATGTACCTTTCAGCTGCAGCTCCATGGTTAAAATAGTAAGCAAATACTTCGAGAAGTTCATCTTTATCATCAACTGATACATGGTGAAAAGGATTAACTGGTGGTTTATGATGATTTAAAATTAAACATCGAGAAGGTACAACGTAGTCAAGACAAGCTCCATAACCAATGGCAATTTTAGCATTAACATTAACTTGACCATCTCTTTCAATAGCAAGTAAACTATTCAATGTATCCACCAGCCGCTTCTCAATTGGCCTGAATGATGAAATATATGATTGATAACAAAAGGCAATAAATAAAATTAAAATTGGTATCGCTAAAAATGATTTGGTCCATTGACGTTGTTTCGATTTTGCATGATAAACATCAGCCGATTGTTTCTTTTCAGTTGAATTGTTTCCGAGTTTGTTTTCACTAGTCATCTTTTCCGGTTTTCTGGTTAGTATATAAAGTTTATTGGTCTGAGAATATTTTTTCCAAAACAAAAAGCGAAAATATCAGCAAACCAAAACGACTAAAGTAAAACAGTAAAGGATAGGAAATGAGGCCAGTAGATGAGGTACTTTTTTCTCGTAAAAATTTACAGATTCATTTGGTGATAATTGAATCAAGGTTGATTACGTTGATCAGTTTTTGTTTACCATCGGCAAGGAGAGTCAATGGATTAGAAGCTGGGTAAGGGTTAAGGAGAGAAACAAAGATGAAAACCCAAAGAATTGTTTCAAGTTACGATGATACACTTTTCTGATCAATGATGAATCTCAATAAAAGATGGCACAATTTAAATCAATCGAGTATTACTCATGAGAAAAGAAAGAATAGAAAGTTGATCGATAATCAGAAAGGAAAAACAATTAAACTGAAAGATTAACATATGAGATAAACAAAAGAACAAACGTCGATTCACTGCGCCTCTGGTGGAAAAGAAAAGAAAACAACTTAAATTCTTTTCCATCTGTTGGATTGACTTTTTTTTCTGGTCTTTTAATATTCTAGTTGATTTGGTTTCCTTTTTTGATTGTTGGGTTATTTTTCTTTGAAATTATTGTAGTAATTGTTTTATTTTTTTTCTATTTTGTGATTGATTCGCGTTGAAGATGCCACCATCTAATTCTAACAGGGAATCAGCTCCTGATTTTAGTGATCGAGCTCGTGCAACATTTGCTTACCAGAAACTCTATTCCAACCGAAGTGGGATTAATGCAGTTTTCCTTGGTCCTCCTGGTTCTGGTAAAGGAACTCAGGCTCAACATGTTAAATCAACTTATGGTGTTTGTCAATTAGCTACTGGTGATATGCTTAGAGCGGAGGTTTCATCTGGTTCAGATTTGGGTAAATATGTTAAAAATATAATGGATTCTGGTAAATTGGTTGATGATGAGCTGGTAGTTAAACTGATTGATTCCAATCTGGATAAACCTGAATGTGGGAATGGATTTCTTCTAGATGGATTTCCACGGACTGTTGTTCAAGCTGAGAAGGTAATTTAACTTGAGTAATAATTGACATTGACTTGACATACAAGAGACAAAAGAAAAAAAAACAAGTCAAAACATGTAATACATGTAAACATCAACAATCTAGTGTAGTAATTATACAAAGGAAAATGATCATTTTTTTGGTAATAAGTTTCAGATGAGGATGGAGATGATTTTGATTTAAACTGATCAAAGATTAATTGTCTTATTATTTACCCAACTGTAGTTAACTGGTGCTTATGTGTGTATTGGTGAAAATACATTGGATTCTATGTTAACTTTTGATCAAGTTCAAAATATATCTCCAATCAAATCAACTCTTAGTGATTATCGAATCTTTAATCTCTGTCTTGAAATTGAGGCACCGACTTTAGATTTTAATCACCTTGTTATATGAACATAGGAAAACGTTATACTGGAGAAAATCTAACAATCATGACTCGACTTTTTTTATCTCGTTCTCTTTTCTCATTTAACTTGATTTTAATCTAATCATCTCTTTGTTTCCTTTTATTTTCAGTTGGATAATTTACTAGAGAAAAGAAATACTCAGCTTGATTCAGTTATTGAATTTAAGGTTAATGAAGATTTACTTGTTCGCCGTATTTGTGGTCGTCTTATTCATCCTTCCAGTGGTAGAACTTATCATGAAGAATTTTATCCTCCAAAAAAAGACATGATTGATGATGTGAGTATCAAATTGTTAACATTATTGTTTAATTCGAAATACTAATTCTATCTATTTTACTTCCTTGTTGGCTCATATATTTTTACAGGTAACTGGTGAACCTTTGATCCGTCGGTCTGACGATAACCCGGAGGCATTGAGAAAAAGACTACAAACCTATGATGATCTTACCAAACCGTTAGTTTCTTATTATATCAAGAGAGGAATCCACTCTTCAGTTGATGCTGATCTTAAACCGGATCAAGTTTTCAACCAAATTAAATCTGCCTTCGAAAAATCCAAGATGAAAGATCAAGTAATTTTCATCTAAACAACAATTGATTAATCTCCCATTGGAATCCAACACAAATAAAGCTCCTTAAACTTTCCTGTTGATAATTTTGATTGTTCATCTGAAAATCATTCAATTGAATTTTCACCTTAATCCAGTGCAAGGAATTAAACAAACGGCCGTTGCCATGATGATGAGAATGAGGATAATTATGGCAATTAAATTCCTCTCTCTCTCTCTCTCTCTCTCTCTCTTTCTAAATTTCTTTACTTCGTTTATGTTAATATTTTAAGTACAAATTTAATGCAATTAAATGTTGTCTACCTGTTGATTTAAAAATTAACCAGCTAATCAACCAATTCAACAACAAAAGGGACTCAACTAATTATTCATGTTAAAACAATTAAACAAAATGAAAGCATCATAATCCATGATTAATTAAGCAATAGATTGGTTTACCTTTTAATCATGTCAGTTATCTTGAATTAATTAAAATCCAATAGTTAATAAATTGTACACACAATCAATTGTTTTGGTATAATATTTTAATCAATCAAATAAAACAAAAATTGTCTTCAAAATCAATCTAATCTAATCAATTAATTTCCTTTGCTGGTCAACAGATTAACAAACTAAATTAGATAATCAGTTTGACTTTTCACAAAATTTAATTTCTCACTCACTTTGATCAATGTCTCTTCCCAATCACCATTAACGTTTTCCTCAGGATTTTAATTAAGTGTTTCTCTAATCATGATTTATCTCAATTCATTTGAAATTTTCATGTTACTAATTAACTTTTCTTATATTGTTACAATTAAATTTGACACTGATCATGCAGTTATATTCAAACCTCCTAAAGTTAATCACAATCACCAAGCCTTTGGATCATCTGTTGCTATAACTAAATCAAAGGACAGAATTAGGTAATTTTGATCTGTTAATTGTTTACTAAATTAAAGCTACATTTGATTAACTTTTAGGTTTATCATTGGAGCTCCTAAAGGTAGTTCAAATTTAATTACAATTCCTCAAACTGGATTAGTTTATTCCTGTGTTGTTAATGATAACTGGAAATCATCAGAATGTAACGAAATTCAATTAGACTTAAAAAGTAAGTAAGTTGATCAATGATCAAAAATCACAATTAATTGATTTCTCTTGGTTAGATAATAGTAAATTGGTTAAAATTAAGACTCCGTTCACTTCTGGGATGAATCTTGGATTAAATTTAGCCGTTGATCAAGTTAACAATTTAATCACAATCTGTGGTCACCTTCATGCTTACAACAATCAACAACCAACGGGTATTTGTTTCCTAGTTGATACAATTAACGATAAATTGGTGAAAATATTATCACCTCGAAGCAGAAAATGTAAGTAGACAAAGTAATTAACAATAAGATTTGATTTAATTACAATTTTCTACCAAACAATTTAGCATTGACTTCAAATTCAATTAAAAAAACGTCATTCAAATCTTTGCAATCTCATGAAATGTTTGGTTTCTCATCGACATTCAATCACAATTCTGATTCAATTGTATTCGGAATTCCTGGTTTTGATATTTTCCGTGGAGCAATATTATCACTAACCAACAATTTAAATCACCAACAATCAGCAAACATAACAGTAAACACAATTAAAGAATTGGATCAAGATTCTTACCTTGGTTATTCATTAGCAACTGGAATCTTTTTCAAATCGAGAGTTGAGTTAATTGTTGTTGGTGCTCCAAGAGGAAAACAATTAAAAGGCCAAGTAAGTTTAAAATTATCTAACAAATTATACGATTAATCAACAATTATATTGAAAATTATATTAGGTTATCATCATGTCACCAAATTCAGATGATTATTATGGTGAAATTATTCAAGATCTAGATGGTCATCAACTTGGTGAATATTTTGGTTACTCAATCCAATCAATTGATTTGAATGCTGATGGTTATGATGATTTACTAATTGGTGCACCTTTTTATATGCCTAAAAATAACCCAAGGGGCGATTGTGGTCAAGTCTATGTTTATTTCAGTGATGGTCAACAATTAAATGAGTCGCCAATCACCATTGATGGAGATTCACTTTTCGGATCTCGATTTGGCTCATCATTAGCAACAATTGGTGATTTTGATTCTGATGGTTTTAATGGTAATTGGAAATGTTATATGATTTTATTATCAACAATTAACTAAATCAGTGAATAAATTTTCTCTCTTAGATTTTGCTGTTGGAGCTCCACAGGAAAATGAAGGATCAGGTTCCGTTTATATTTATTCTGGTTCCACAATTAAATCAAGTAGAAAATATTTCCAGGTAAATGATACGATTTATAGTTGATTGATTGTTGATCATATGCTAAATTGTTTTTTAATTTGATTCTTACAATTCAAGAAAATCGATTCCTCTAAATCATTTGGATTGTCCAGTTTTGGGTCCAGTATTTACTCAACAATTGACGTGGACAACGATAATTGCCCTGACCTTTTAATTGGCTGCTCCATGTCCGATGCTGCCGTTTTATTAAGATGCCAAAGTTAAATTAGACTATCACAATTAACTGATCAACTTTATTGTAAATAATTGTATTTAATTGCTTTTAATTTTCAATTCTTCTTCGTCTTCTTAATCATCCAATTATAGCCATTAATAAAATTTATTTAATCCGTTTTGTCTTAATAGACAAACAAAGTTAATTGTAAATTTTGTCATCAATTTTTACTCATTAATTGGTGTCTTTGGTCACCATCAAGTCGTAGCAACAATTATGAGACAATTAATTTAACCATGGTTACTTTTAATCATTTGTAATATGCTAATAGAGGATACATTGGGTTTGTGATTAACTATTCATTGATAATCAACTTAATTAGTTGATGAAACTCGATGGATTTAAATGAAATCAACCAAGCAAATTAGGTTATGATTAACCTTGACACTGACCTTGTCCATATTCAACAATAAATTAGTGATCAATAAAAGATAATTATCATTTACATGGCATTAATATTAATGGTTAATTGTTAATTAGAAAAAAATTCGTAAATTAGTTAATTGTTACCTTTGTCTCTTTCCTGATAATCATTGTGATGACTTTTTCCTTTGGGTTAATTGTAATATGATTATTTTGATCAGTCTCAGTGATTGTTGTACATAATTGTGAATTTGTATCAACTTGGAAACAATTGATTTGATCACTATGATAATGGCTGTAAATGTAATGTTGATTACATGATTTGGATGATCAAATTGATTAAATTGTTTCCCTTCTAGAGGTGAGAATGGATTAAACTGTGATTAGCTAATTACAGGCGATCCAGTTTAACTTGAAAATAATTGCTCTCAAACGGACATCGCACACCGAAAGGATCAATATGAACAAATCGATTTAACCCTTTTCTTTAGTTCCATCGATATTTTCGAGAAGAATGTGTTTGAATAATTCGTCAGAGGTTCGAGTTAAATCATAAATAGTATTTGGGCCGACATTTCCTTCAACACCGACCAACGAACATTTGATTGCTTGGAATGGTAATCGCCTGATGAGCTTTTCGTCGATTGTAAAACAAAATTTCTCAGGGAATTTATATGTTTCTCCCCAATCGAGGAAAAAGACTTCAACCAATTTCTCTTCAGGCAAATGTTGAATCACTTTATTAATTATTCTAGAAAATGATTTTGATCCTGAGTTCTCAACAATTCCAATACCAAGACAATTCTCGATAAATGCTTTCATCGGCGTAAATTGTAATTTAGATAAATCTTTTTCGAAATTTTTTTAAGCATTTGAAATCAACTGAATTAAACTTATCAAGTTAATATTTATTAATATTATGATTAATAGATCGGAATCTCTTTGTTTAATATCAGAAAAAATCGAAATTGATTTTGATCTCGAGTGGATTTGAATTGATTAATTGTTGATACTTTTGATTTACGAAGCAATTAAAGGTGATCAATTTCAACTTTTCATGGTTTGTTAATTGTCTAATTAAGTATCTACAATCAAAAATAAATTGAAAGTCACGAAGCTCAAATAATCAGTTAAGTTTAGATCTTCAACAATTACAATTAATTTCTTTGATTGTGTGCAAAGTTATGATCAAATTAAATAATTCATAGCATTCATAAATCTCAAACAAAGCATAATTAATGAGAGATTAATTTTTGAATGTAAAACAATTAAGATGAGATCATAAAATGAATCTTGATTGGATATATCGTTAATTTTGTATAATCAAATTTTGGCGATTAATTAATGGTCCATAGTATTTAGGACAATATTGATGAAGGTGAACAATTAATCGAGATTAGGTGAAGGATAAACGATAACAATTAATTAGGACCCATGATAATTAATATCAATCATCAGAGGGAGCAAATGATTAGAAAAAGTTGGATCAATTCTGTCAGAATACTTTTTAATTGTTATATAAGAGAATCTCTAGTCTACTCATTGAGCTTAATTGCTGTTTGGACTTTAATTGTAATTGAGTTTGGTACAAAGTTTAACTGGAATAGTTCATCATTTGTGGTTAATTGTGAACAATCAAGAATAAGTAATGATCAGACTTGGATGTGAATACGATTTCCTTTTCCAAAAGTAAGTTGATACTTTTTTCTTGGAGTTTTTTTTATCTAAATTTGATTTCAATCCGTTTTAATCACAGTCTCTAATTACTTGATTCTTTTTTTGATTGTTGATTATGCCTTTCCACTTTGAATGAATTCACTTGATTGTCAGGTCTATTTGATCAATTAAAATTGTCATTTGCTAGTGAATATATAATTACACCTGAATGACCATGAACACAGTTGGTTGACCATAATTCTTGATTCTGATTGTTACATGAATAACTCATGTTAATTTTTTGTTGTTATTTCGCTTTAATTATGATCATTGGACCGATTGAAACAATGGTTCATATTTTGATTACTATTGATTACTAATCTAATACACATGATCACCGTGATAATTAGAGGTTATGATCAGTTTCATATCATTATTTTAAATCAACTGAACTGTTCATAGTATTATTTTCATATTCATCGTGGTGACAGTTAGATGGATTTTTTTTAATATTGATCTTTAATTATAATAATTGAGAGTAAATTAGATTAATTGTGATTTTCCAATTTGATTAAAAAATTTGTATCATTGAAAATGTTTAGATATCAAAGAGACGCTACTGGTTGGAAGGTCCTTCGAAATGGTTACGTTCATGATTCAGACAAAATAGAGAAAGCGGTCAAATTGGTCGGTAAAGATGGACTTTTACACTATGATCAAAGTAGAGTTCGTGTGGCTCTGTTTGGTTTAGGTCGAATTGGAACAGTTTGGATTGATCGTGTCTTGAAAAATCCACGACTTCAATTGGTCTATTGCGTTGAATCTTGTGTCGAACGTGCAAATTATTTCGAGTACCTGTACAACCTTAAAGACGTAAAGATGATTCACCCTAATTGTGCCGACGAAGTTTTTAGTGACCCCGATGTGGATGCTGTAATCATCAGCACTCCAACGGGACTTCATGAGTCCCTAACTCTTAAATCTTTGAGTTCTGGAAAAGCGGTCATGTGTGAAGGCCATTAGCCGAGCGCATCGAAGCCATTGAAAAAGTGTTCAGATTAGCAATACAACGAAATCTTCCTGTGTTAACTGTTATGAATCGACGGTTCGATCCCGCGTTTCGTATCGTTCGACATCGTGTCAAAAAGGGAGAGATCGGTACAATTCATGGGGTTAAAATGTGTTCCCGAGATTCACTTCGTCATTCAGCTTATAAAGGATCGACTAATATTTTCCTGGACTTAGCGATACATGACATTGATCTGATCTGTTGGATTGTTGGTGAATATCCGAATGTTGTTATCGCCACGGGGACAGCTTTTGATCCTGAAATTCGAGATTCAGGCGATTACGATACTATTGTTGTGGTTCTTAAATTTACCTCTGGTGTTTTAGGAACCATCGATATGTCTCGATCTTCTGTTTATGGTTATGACCAACGACTCGAGGTTTTCGGTTCTAAAGGTCTGTTAACTGGACCTTCAACTCGACCAACTTATGTTACTCTAGATTCTGAATCGGGATCAACTACAGTTCCTTATCATCATTGTCATATTTCCCGATTTACTGAATCTTATACTAATCAATTAGAACATTTTGTCGACTGTATCAAAGGTAAATTATAAACCTCTCATTAGCCTAATACTAATTAACGAATTGCTTTTTCAGGTTTGAGCGCAATTGAAGTAAAACCAATGGAGGTGATGGCGGCCACTAAAGTAGCTCAAGCGTGTAAGGAATCAGCTCGAATTGGAAAACCGATTGAATTGACCTGGAAGGAAAGTTGGGCAGAAATTAACGCCAACGAAGAATAATCTTATTAACAATTAACCTCAACTGTTAGAAATGTTTCCCCTTTAAATTGTTAGTAATCTGATAAATTTAAATCGCGAATCGAGAATTAAATTATCAATATGATCTTAATTTCTTAGCTCGTTGATTTAATGATCCAAAAGTATATCCTAAACTGCCAAATACTAGACATATAAGTATTGTGACTATTCAAAAGCTTCATGTAATTGAATTTCTGTTAACAGAGTTAAAATCTAAATATAATTGCAATTAGACTTGTCGAGATTCTCAGATTATCAATATCATAATGTTCACGAAAATAAAAAATTCGAATTTTAAACTTGGCGCCTTCTTTGTTTTCCTGTGAAATGTTTACATTTTTTCAGTTTTTTCTTGGGGTTGAAACTCAACCGTTGAGTTTAATTAACTCACTTAATTGCGTTTTAATTGTGGTTTTAAATGGTTAATTTTGTTGATTTCTTTTCAAATTGCAATACTTATTAATCAAAGGTAATTAATGGTCATTAAATGTTACTTTTAATCCAATAGATTTCCTCATTAGAACTGTTTTCCCATTCATTTAATTATTTTCTCTCCAATTTTTGTGTTTTATCAACCGATTGATTAATAATTATTATTTCTTTTATTTAATAGATTCGGTTCCAGTGATGAAATATTTCTATTGGTTTTGGCTCCTGATATGTTGTCTCTTAAGTCGAAACAGATGAGATTTACTTTGAACCATCTAGAAGAATGAAATTTTATTTCTTCTTCTCATCTTCTAATATCAAGAAGCAAATCAGATTGATCGTTAAATTTTCACTCTATTTTCTTGTCTTCTTGGCTCTGCTGGAAGCAATCTATTTCTTGTTTATCAATATATTCTCCAATAGAAACTCCGACAATGGATATGATATTGACCATTACTATGAACCTTTCAGATTAATCGATCCAGAAAATAGTGAAACAATCATCATTGGCAATACTCGGCCAACAGCAATTGAAACGGTGAAAGGATGTAATCATTTTAACTGTTTCGATGTTTATCTTTGTGATCCAGATGATGGTCGATTAAAAGTTTACCTTTATCCAATCAAAAGATATCAAGACAACGGTGGTTTAGATATTTCGGCTCAATTTACTGAGGAATTTCATCAACTATTGAAGGCGATTCAAGAAAGTGATTATTTTGTTGATGATCCAAGATCGGCATGTATATTTATTCCAACAGTTGACACTTTAAGTCAAAATTATTTGCGACCTGAAGAAATTTCGAAAATTTTTGCTTCTCTATCTCATTGGAATGACGATGGAAGAAATCATCTCATCTTTAATTTTCTTCCATCCTCTAATCCTGATTATAACCATCGATTAAATATTAAACTTGGAAAAGCGATGATTGCCTCAGGAGGTTTCGATAGTTGGTCTTTCCGTCCACAATTTGATTTATCAATACCAGTGTTTAGTCCTTTTAGTAATCAATACATTTTTCGTTCACCCGATGATGAGGTCAAATTAACCAGTTACGGTCGAAGACATTGGCTTTTAATGTGCCCACAAATTAATCTTTTTATTAATCCGGTTGCCAAAAAAATTTTAACCAAAATGGAGGAAGACAACTCTGATAAATTAATCCTTTTAGAATCTCAATGTGATCTGACAGTTAATATATCTTCCTGGAGGTGTAATAACCAAAGAAATTTGAAACTAAAATACCCTGAGATTTTAACCTCTGCCGATTTCTGTTTATTCATGGAAACGCCATTTTTAGGATCACCATTTCTCAGCGATGCTCTCATGATGGGCTGTATTCCGGTGATAATTATGGACAATTATGTGCTCCCCTTTCAAGATAAAATCGATTGGCGAAGTATATCAATCAGAATTACCGAACATGCTTTTCATCGTTTGATGAACATTTTAAACGATATATCAACCGATCGTATCACTGAGATGAAGGAGCAAGGGGTTTCTATTTGGAGACGATATTTTAGCTCAATTAAATCGATTACATTGTCAACATTATCTTTGATCAATGAAAGGATATTCCCACAATCGGTGATTACTCGATCTAAATGGAATCATCTAAAAATCGGTTCCCATTTAAAACCTCTTTCTCTGATTAACCCAAAATTATCATCTAGACCTTATAAAGGCTTCACAGCGGTGATACTCACTTACGACCGAGTGGAAAGTTTGTACCAAGTCATTCATCGAGTTGTTCAAGCTCCAAGTTGTGTGAAAGTTTTAGTGATTTGGAATAATCAAGAAAAAGACCCTCCTCTTGCCGACGAATGGCCTAAAATTAGCGTTCCGTTGAAAGTGATCAAAACTAAAAAGAACAAATTATCCAATCGATTCTATCCATTTAAAGATATCGAAACTGAGGCCATTCTTGCCATCGACGATGATATTATAATGTTAACACCAGACGAACTTGAGTTTGCTTTTCAAGTATGGAGAGAGTTTGCTGATCGAATCGTTGGTTTTCCTTCTCGGGTTCATCGGTGGAATAATTTTACTCATAAATATCGCTACGAGTCTGAATGGACTAATGACGTTTCCATGGTTCTAACGGGAGCTGCTTTTTATCATAAGGTTTGTTGCTTAATTGATTTAATTGATGGAACCTTTCAAATCAATGTTTTCTAATTGTTGTTTCTTTCATAGTTTTACAATTATTTATACACTTTTGAGATGCCAAAGGTAATCAAGGATCAAGTAGATGCTCAGATGAATTGTGAAGATATCGCGATGAATTTTCTTGTCTCCAATGTCACCGGAAAAGGACCAATTAAAGTGGCACCAAGGAAAAAGTTCCGTTGTCCCGAATGTGTCAACGGCGGAATGTTATCCAAAGATGTACTTTATCATTTGAATGCTCGATCAAAGTGCATCAATGAATTTACAGAAATTTATGGCTACATGCCTTTGGAAACCGTTGAATTCAGGGCAGATCCAGTTCTGTTTAAGGATAATCTCCCGGAGAAGTTGAAAAAGTTTCATCACATTGGTAATCTTTAAATTCAAGGGAAGTTTAAATCTGATTACAAATCCAAGGTGACAATTAATTTCCCGTCAACAATCAGCATGATACATGTAAATATACTTTCTACAATAATCTAGTCTCTCTTTTTTAATATCTGCCAAATTATCTTGATATACAAAATTTACTGAGGCCAAACTGTATTATAATCATACCTCTAATCATTTTGATTAATTTTAACTCACAAATTGCCACAAATTAAATGCTAACAATTTATCATGACACAACATATGATATATTTGAACCAATTTTTTCTCTTTTATCTTTTAAATTAATTTATTAATATTTGGTTTCTTTTTACACATTTTTGGTTCTTTCTTTGATTAATTAGAATTAGCAGCAACTATTAATTGTTTCAACTGTTTAATTACAGTATCGACTAATTTTCTTTTATCTCGCTCATTCTTCTTTAACGAAGCAAAAATGTTACGATTTTTATCCGCTTCCTTAATCTTTTCGAGTAGATTAAGAGCAACCTGAGGATTAACTCGTAAATATTTACTATCTTGTTTACCATAATCAGCAATATAAGTTGACCATTGCCAAGTGAGAAGGAGATCAACTAATTGTCTTAATTCAGCGAAACACATTTGAAGTGTATTGTCTTCGAAACCTTTGACTGGCTCAGAGTTGGCGAAAAATTCACATTGTAACAGGTCGAGATTAAATTGTTCTAATGCTCCCATTGAAATCGCTTTGACATCTTCGTCGAGTAGAAAATTGATCAAAGATGAGGCCATGTGTTTACAGGCCGAAACACAGGCCGTTTGGGCAACTTTAAGAGGTAAATTGGTGAATGCTTGAAATGTCGAGGTTAAAAATTTGATGAGATCGGTAATATAAGAAGAGGCAACACCCGATGATTCAACCAACAGCCAATCATAATCAGCAATGTCCAAAAATTCATCGATTTTTTTATTAAGCAGAAAGTATATTTGAGATTCAGCGTCAGATCGAGCATCTTTGAACATCGAGCTTCCTTGAAGTTTGGCAAGATGTGATCCACCGGCTAATTCACCAACGGTAGTTGTCGAAGCGCCAATTGGTGAACCAAGTCCAGTGGCCTGTAAGGGTTGAGAAATATATTCCTCCAAGAAACTCATTGAGTCTTCCAGGTAATTGGTGTTTATCGCGATTTGTATTAACTGAAGTAAACCAAGGCTCGGTTTCTTAATTAGAACAGATAAACAGCCGGAAAGAGTTCGAGTAAGTAAAAGATTAGTTGACTTTCGGACCATATCCTCGATTTCAGTTTGACTTATATTAAGATCTTGTGAGAATTGTCGACAAGCGTTAATGAAACGCTTCACTTGGGTGAAAACTTTGGGTACAAACAATGAGAAAGGAAATTTTTTAGGATAATCAGAATCACCGGTTGAAATTACTTCACCCTCATAATAAGGGAATTCACTGATTATCTTATCATATTCAGATTGAGATTCAACTTGAATTGGATGATAATTATCACCATCGAAAATTGATCTAAACAATGAACACCATTGTTTCATTAAAATCTCATTATATTGATCACGAATTTCAATGAGTAGATTGAAAAAAGGATTAACATTGTAACCATAACTTTGAAGTGTTTGACTGAACAAAATGATAATCCGTTTGATTTGGAGCATCAGATTTTCATCAGTACAATACGATGAATAGGTTCGTAGCGAGGCGATCACTGATTGTAGAGCGTTTTCCCAAACTTCGTCAAGATATGATTTAGTTACCAAACCGGGAGCAGTATTGAGAATATGATTTTCGATGACAAAAAATCCAACAACACCACAGAAATAATTCTTGTAACCGTCAATGTTTTCGTGCATGTTGATCGGAGGTTGAAGGACAAGTTTAGCCTGTTGTTGTCTCTGTTGGCGGTAATATATTTCAAACAGTTCACGAGCACCAAGACAGCCGAAAATGTGAAGACACCGATAGACCGGTGAAAAATCAACAATATCGGTTCCTTTTAATTCATCTTCAGTTGATATTCCGTTTCTGGTGAAATCTGAATCTGATTCACTGTCAATCTCATCTAAATCATCTTCAATTGAAGATGACATTGTTGGTGGTGGTTTAGGGGCTCGAT